TTAAGTTTAATGTAAACACTTAGTTTTATTTTCATATCGTATTAAAATCTTCATCGTATTGATTGAATTTGTAACGACATTGAATAAAAACTATTAATTATCATAAATACATAAGCTTAGGCTGTACTTTATAGTGTAAATAAAGTAATTTATTTGAATTGGTTCTTGTAACGTTTCAGTAAATAGTAGCGAACCCGCGTGCAGGTTTATTAAATGTCAGTAACAGGCGGCTCTTATTATACAAGAATATTGGTACGCGAGTCGCAGCTATGTAATGAATATACAAAAGTATTGTTAATTTTATATTAATTTAATACACTTTGATTGCTTCATATGACATTTTTAATACAAATACAATAATAAATAAATAAAATAATCATACTATAGCTCCGAGTGTTACCCGTGATTTTTCAAATAAAGGTGGAGTATATTCATTTTCAATTATAAAGTGAATTTACGTCATCTTGACCCAAGGCTATTTTAACGATACCAAAAAAGCAAATACAAACAGAAAATTTTAAAACAGGAAATTCAAAATCTAGAACAATTAACACTTTAAACTTACTAAATTGATTATTTTAATTTTCCTATCGTCAGTTGGCCGTTACGGATATATTTAGGGGGAATTCCGCATGGGAAAGGTGTGTAACAGTGCTGATCCCTGTTTAAAAAGTCATTGGGACACGTGAATGCACTTCCGCGTGCATTCTTGATTATGCATTTTCCATTTTATTGTACTTACATAGCTACTGCATATAAGGTAATAAACGGTTACATATACATATAATCTTGAGTATTCATAAATTTTAATTATTTGAAAAAAAAATTGACGTTCAAGTTGAAATTGAAGTTGTTCTATTTGCGGTTATACTATATTTGTTTATCTGTTCCGTTAATGACCTTTAGCCTTAATCTGTTTACGTGGCTTGCCAAGTCCCAATGTGGAAAATGAGATCACCATCTCCAGAGATGTGCTACAATATGTATCCTTCATCTGTTTACTGCTCTATCGCTATAAGATATCAAATCAGCAATGAACTGACATGGCTTCACAGATCGGCATGAAGTCGTATAGTGCAATGGTACTGAAATGTACAGGGTAACCTAGGAGGCTCTGTGTCTATGTGATGTGCATTCGAACTGATAGTTTAGATGAAATCCCCACACCAGAAATAATTAAAATTTAACGCACTTACATTGTTAGTTATTATATTAGTTAGAATTTTCTATTTGTATGTCTGTAAACGAGATTTTGGAGCAACTTTGGTGTTACACTATTAATTCATCAATTCAAATTCGTTTACAAATAAGAAGGTCATAATGGTCAAATCATATGGTTTACAATAAGATACAAGCGCTGACACACAAACTAAACTTTAAGTTCTATAATGCTTACAAAAAAACCGGTCAAGTGCGAGCCGAACTCGTATGCTGAGGGTTCCATACCTACCATTATACCGCCATAATAAAATTGGTAAATAATCACCACCGATTTTCTCAGGAACGGGTGAACCTAGCAAGTTGAAATTCACACCAGATACTGAGGTCTATAGTCCCTATAAGGTGTATAAAAAGTCCTGTATGAACACGTAAAAAGCTATGGGCTAATTTAAATTTTCACGCTTCATGTTTGTTAAAATGTGACTTTAGTAGAAAGATTAAAAACCGGGAATACGCGGGCTTAAACCCACGGACCAAAAAATTCATTGACAGACAATTTTTCTACAAGAAATAATTCACATTATAAGTTTCATCTTGGGTGAATTTTTGATTAGATGCAGCGCTGTGTAGTCTTTGCACTGCAGAGACTCGCACCTAATATCAATGTATCGTAAAATTCATGGTTGTGTATTGTGGACTAATCGTAAATATGTAGAAAAAAACGAGTGTGTACTTATGTACGCACGTAAGAAGTTATACTGTAGCGGACCAAAAAATACTATAACTTTATCCCCTGTGCCAGTGCACATTGTAAAAAAGACATTAAATGCATTGGTAATGGTTTAATTAAATAACTTGGAATTAAAGTTAAATCTCATGAAGTTGTTATTGGTTGCCATGGTAATACGTAAAGTTGTTCAAAGTTGGTCGCTTTGTGACCAACTATCCAAACGCATCAAAAGAAGTATAAATTCAAAAATTCTAATACAATTTACAGAGTACTTGTTTTATCATTGTCAGAAAACAATTATTATTTACAGAATGTACGGTCCTCTATGGACTATAAGTTATCAATTTTGACGTTATTTACATTTCGATAAAATATTATTTTTTTCCAGAATAATCGCTTAAAATAAAGAAAAACACATTGAGGTAATACCTTTATGAAATAGAGATATACGCATAAAAGCACTATCTGAACTGACTTTTTCGATTTCCATCCCACAACAAGTTAGCATTTTCTAAAATTTCGTTATTCATATTCAATAAACTTGTACCGGCTAACGAACGTACGTTGTAGCCCGCAGACAAGAGATCGAATGCTGTTACGAGAGCCAATCAAATCTTATTGTTTGTTTGACATAACAACATCGATGCTGAGGGAAATTTGGTGATACATAGTGCATAGACCGCCAACTACGTACGCGCTGAATATAAAGGGATTCAGCTTTAGCGCCTATGTATGTTATTATAGTAGCATACTATGTGCGTATATTTTTAATTTTATTTTATTTAAACAAAAAACGTTTTGGTTAACATTCCATATAATTAGTCAGATTAAGATATTGTTTACATGTTGTTGATGATTGTAACATATGAAAAGTATTTTCGTACTAAGGTATTTCACACATCTATATGTTTACACTATTGGAATTAAAAAAAACGATGTAAAATTTAATAAAATTTTTAGGTTAGGCGTTGAATACCACTACTGACGAATTACATCAGCTTTTGAAATTATTTTAATTAGTTCACAACATTCAGGGATATCGCGATTTTCTCCTACTGTGGGAATATTAGGCCTTAGTTAATCCTGACTTTAAAAAATATAAAGTGTTGACTATATAACTTAATTATGTAATTATCGCATACGCCCGTCCTTTGTAGAAGATGACAAAATTTTATAGTACATACATATAAGATATCCACTCAGCATATCCCATGACTTTTCCATGATCTTATGCTAGATCATCCTGGCATGATTTAATATGGTCTTGAAGTAAAAAAAGCTATGCTCACGTACGTTTATAATGGGCCTGTGGGGTCTCCGATTAGCCTTTGACCATAGAATTTGACTTAATGCGATAGATTTCTGATTTTTTGATTCTTTTTTAACTGCTGGGGGACAATGTAGGTTTGAAACCCGTATTAGCGCGGACATTGTAAGATTCCTGTACTTCGGATATTATGTCAGTTATATACATATGTTTAGCACGATCCTAGGATTTCATTTTAATCCTGCAACCATTTCGGAAACTGATGGATTGCGAACAGTAGGAATACATTAATTACTCGAAACTGTCTTGGTTCCACTACATGGAAGGAACTGGTTGCGTTTTACGATGATGAAATTCAGCAAAATGATAAATAGAATAAAATAACTATTGAACAAGGAGATGGTTGCCCTTTTCGTAAGATAAAAATCAAAGTGATTGGACTGATCCTGGCCTTCAACATCCCTTCACAAAATGCGCTCAAATAGGAGTTGATATGTCATAATCCAGAAATGAGAACTGTATTCCATGTACGGGCAAACTGAAATTACTCTCTCTCTCTATTAAGGTCATCTAGTTTTTAAGTCCAATCGGAGGTTAAACTGACCGCTTATAGCCCCCCTTTGCTCTTAACTGCCTTTCTGTCTATCGGTGAGTTAAACATACAAGGAAATAATATAGCTATTTAGCTTAAACTTTTTCTACATATTTTAATGTTCAATCTTAAGTGCAAAGATTAGCACTATAAACAATTTAAATTTCTAGCTATTTAGCTCTCAATAAACAAGCACTTTATAACGGCCTCCACTATTTTTCGAAAGAAAGAGATGATTTCGTTAGAACTGTAGATGGATCTCTTATAGCTCTATATATTTTTGTCTTCCAAAAATTCGGAAAAATTGCCAACTGAGTAGACTAAATCAGTGCTAGACATGAGGCACACGTTCTCAGCTCAATGGGGGATATTCCATCAGGCCTACTTCACCAATAGATATAAACTAAGAAAAGAAATTTACGAACTGATTTCTACCGAAATCTGATTTCGGTAGAAATCAGTTCTGTGAGTTTCGCTCTGTGAGGATAGACCTAGAAGATGCAGGTTCAATCCAGGCATCGTTGAAAAATATTTCAACCATACATAAATACAACCCATAACATGAATTTAAGTTTCATATTGATGTTCACACTAGCGTTAAATTAAAAAAATAGTAATAAATTTTATTTAAAACTAAGTAAAACCTATAAATGTCCCAATGCCGGGCAGAGACCTCTTTTGTACAGAAAGTATCTGGGCATAGTCCATCAGGCGCCGCCACTGCGGATATGCGGACTTCACATATCTTCGAAATATATATATTTTTTGTTATTATTTCGAAAATATGCAGGTATCCTCACGATGTTTTCCTTCACCGCTGAGCACGTCGACGAGCATTCAGCACTTAAAATTAACAATTTAATTGGTGCCGGCAACGGGGATCGAACTCAGGTTGCTCGAGTATATGGAATAAAAGCGAGCGCCCGAACAATGACCTATCACGGCTTAAATTTTATTAACAAGGCTTATAATTAAATACGGGTAATTTTTTGATAATTGAAAAATAAGCGATAGATGATGAAGGGTCAGTCATTCAACTGAAAATTGGTATAATCATTAAAGTTTTTGCTTTTTATTATCTGATTACTTTCTATAATCTGATTATTTTGATAGGATTTATGATAAATCATGATTATAATTAGGAATATCCATATTTTATTTTATCTTTTAGGTATCTAGGATATAACGCGCATATATAAAAACACACACAGCATTATGAAATGGATCACAGTTGACAAATAACCGGAAATATGAAGCTTCTTCTGGCTCTAGCTATTTTCGCGTTGGCTAACGCACGGTCGATTGAGCCAGAAATACCTGAATTCAACGATGCCTATGGGTACCTGAAGAACTATGGTATCCCATTGGCAGAGAGTATTCAGAAGGCCGAAGAAGAATATCACAGGGGTGATGTTAGAATTGTTGGTGGTTCTGCAGCGAGGCTTGGCCAGTTCCCTTACCAGGTATATCAACAGCTAGCATTCAAAACCAAAGTGTTGTGAAATATTTAAATCATATAATTATCATGTAGAAGGAACAGTGAAGAAAAAATTAATAGTTTTACAAAAACATATGATTGCCGGATTGAGCATATTGACTCAAAATCAAAAAAAAAATATTCATCGACTTACGGCCGTTTTCAATACCCTATCTGTCTCTAGATTTCGTTTCTGGAGATAGAATTTTGACGTAAGTAAAATGGAGCTAATGTCAAGTTATCGCTAGTAACCAAATCTGTTACTGTTGGCCTGTCCTGTCCTTAAAAAATCAGCATACTTATGAATAAATTCGATGCTTTTTTCAGGCTGGCCTTATTGCTGATATCACTGGTACATCTGGCAGAGGTGTCTGCGGCGGTACTTTAATCACTGCATGGAGGGTACTAACGGCAGCTCACTGCTGGTTTGATGGACAGAACCAGGCATGGAGGTTTACTATTGTCCTTGGATCTATTACACTATTCACTGGTGGAACTAGGTTGGAATCCACGCAGGTCGTTATGCACGAAAGCTGGAACCCAAACTTGATCAGAAATGATATTGCTGTTATATACTTGCCTAGGGCAGTGTCTTTATCTAGTAAGTAACATCATTCTCCTTACTTCTTAAAGCACCGATGTTAATGGTATATGTGTGTGTTAAATTAATAACGCTGATGAAATAAAAGTTAGTCTGACTTTGCAAACTCGCGTAAAAAATCTATTTGCAGTTCTGTAAAGAACTAATTTGATTGATCTTATTAATTTGATCTTTTATGTTTCCAGGCAACATCGCTACTGTTACTTTGCCTTCCGGCTCTCAGTTGAATGAGAATTTCGCGGGCTCCACAGCGATCGCTTCCGGGTTTGGTCTCACTAGCGACAGTAAGTTATTTCTTCTTACATTTAATATATTTCGAAACAAAATGCAACAATCGGATTTTTTATGTGAAACGTTTTCTCAAGCGAGCCAGCGGTTCACTTATCTTAGTGAATACCAACCCATGAGCCCATGAGCATCTACAAAACCTGAGGGTTTTTAGAGATATCAGACAACCTTACTCATGAGACTAAACACGAAAGTATGATACTTCCACTTCACGCCGGTCTTCTGAGAGCCCATGGTACTTCCCCGGACGAGCCTTCCCAGTCGAGCAAAAGCAGTATCTGTTGCGTGGCACTACCACAGTGGTCCCTTATTACACAAGCGAAACACCCTTTAAAGACCAATATAGATACAACCAAACATCAGTGCAATATTTATATTATTAAATTTCTAAAATTTCTCTCGAAAAACTTTTTTTGTATATAATATTAACATGAACTGTTTACATTATTTACATACACATTACACTTATTTAAATACATATTGTGGAATCACGAAATACTTTTCTTTGTTTAGATGGTCAAATCACAACAAATCAAGTCCTCAGCCACGTTTCGCTGAATGTGATCACGAACGCGGTCTGCTCTCTCTCCTTCCCCATCATTATTCAGTCATCCAACATCTGTACCAGCGGCAGCGGCGGTGTTGGAACTTGCCGAGGAGACTCAGGTGGTCCTCTCGTCATTACTAGGAACAACAGGCCGCTCTTGGTAAATGCTTTTCTGTTTCTGTTTCTCTTATACTACTTTAATTAAGTAATTGCCATGCGGTACTTTAGGCTGACTGCTATTGATATTTCATACATGTAACTTATTTTTTTACACGTGTTCCTTAAATATAGAGGAAAACTAGAATAGTTTGTTTGATATTTAAAACAGAAGGTTACTTAATAATATTAGTAAAGTCACGTATTAAATAATATTGATGACAAATACATTGTCCCGGAATAAACATTGTGTTTGAGTTATTAATCTTTTTCTTTGTAAATTACCTTTGTAATTTTCTGTAGTAGCATGTGTTCAAAACGTTTCCACATTGACATATTTTTTCAACATTTTCTATGATATTTAATCTAAACGTTTATTGGCCACAGGGTTAATACAAATTTTTGAAAATTTGTCATATTGCTTTAACAATTTAACAAACTTAGTAATCAGAGTCTTGTTGATTAAACAATAACAATTAATTTTCAGATCGGTGTAACTTCCTTTGGTTCTGCTTTGGGTTGCCAGAGAAACATGCCGGCCGCTTTCGCTCGTGTCACATCTTTCATGAACTTCATTCAGCGGAACATGTAAACCTTCTCAAAAGGAAAACCAAGCTGTGTTTAATAAACAAAAAAATACTAAATATTATAACGGTTAGCGTTTAAATAATATTTTTCCCAAATTTTCCGATTTCAACTTGTGATATAGTATCATCATGATATACCCAGAATGTAATTAAGTTATAATAGTATGAATATTGAAATTTTATTAGAAGAACATTTAAACTTAGAATATCAAACAAATTAATTGCAAAGGAGCAGAATGAGTAGAACGGTGTTTGACTTTTAGTGAAAAGGAAATACTCTAAAGTCAATAACAAGATAATATAAGTAAATTTTGATGTACTTAAAACTAAGTACCTAAAATATAAATTCAATGGTGAGTAATTACTGCAGCGTATGGATTTTGAAAACACCGATTGAGAGAGATTGTAGTTTCAATTGTAATCTTTTACAGAAAAATTACACATAATAAAACTAAAATATAAAAATATTAAACTAGTGAAATGTTCGAATAAATTAACTCTACGCAATAATTACTTTGCAAGCAGATTGTGAATCTTAATCCCATATAGAACTGTTAAATCATGCCTTGATAAATGTTACTAAATTTACGACGATGTACATTATGCGATAATGAATATAATATAAACTTTATACTTTTGTATACAGTGTGTCTCTACAATCGCAACAATAAATGAACACACATATAGAGGATAACTTTTTAAAATTGTATTATGTATTTACATACTTTAAACATCAATATTTACAGAGTTATTAAATTTTACAAAACAAACATTTTACCCGAAAGAACGAACCCGAAGAACACCCTTACGTATAAAACTGTAACGTCAAGTTCATTTGTAAAGGTCACAAAGCATATGAATGGGTTGAAAGAATTTAAAAGAAATAAAACATACTGTTAGAAGGAGAGACTTGTAATGCGACGTTGTGGCAACGAATGAAAAAGTCTCTGAATGTATGAAGCAGTCAGTTGTAGTTGTATAGGACAAATTTTGTTTCTTTTTTATTTAATTAGTTTCTTTGAAAAATATATTTTTTTGATAATGGAATTTTTTAACGTTTTATGATTATTTGGCAAGTAGCGTTAGACGTGTGTTCATTTATTGTCGCGATGGTAACGAAACGCTGTATATGCGATAGTGGATATTGACATCGACCTAGTGTAGAATAAATTGAAATTTTAATTAAAGTATAACTAAAAGCGTTAATTAACATTTTGTCAATCAAGATTTTCTATGTAAGAATTATTTATTATTATTTTCATTTATTATTTTTTTATTATTATTGGATTTTCAATTCCAGTCAATCACAAGTACAGAAATGGAACTGGCGTTCTTGACACCATCCCACCTGGGCTTTGCTTGCTAAACATGTCACGTGGACTGGATTATATGAATGTAATTTAATATTTAATAAGTTTTTTTATTCTTTGAACGAATTTCTTTATCACACGTTACGAATTTGGGGATGATCCACCAAATATAGCTTCCCAGAGTAACTCCAGCGTACCAGTTGGCGAAATGGTAAAACGGCGCCCATAACGATCCTTGGGAGTAAAGAGGGGTGGTCGATCGGTCGTCCCCATAGTCTTTAATTCGAGTTTTATGATATGGCATAAAGCAAAATATATTGTCCAATAGTCGCGTGATCCGCAAAGTACCTTAAGTTTTGTTCTATTCGTATTATTTTGTAGTACACTTATTTTGGGTTTTATACAACTTTAATTCTTAGCGATAACATTGGAAAACGTCATTGACACAGCTAAAGCATATTTTGCTAAATGAAACTCATGAAAGAAGTAACTCTAGTGAATACAGATTAGACGTTTCTTTGATACCCTCAACCTGGACCGAAACAACCTGAAAGATCTGATTTAAAAATAAAATAAGTCACAGAAAAAATATTTTATTTTCGTATTAAAAATATATGTGAATTTTAATTTTTGATGTGTTTGTATGAATGAACAATTTTTTTTTCATCATGTGATATAACAATGATAAATATTTACAACTCAATTTTAATGTCCACCCTAATATAATATTTTGTGTATGTGCCTGTATAATTATGAGTGTATATTTCTATATATTTTCTTTTTTATGAGGAAAATTTTCTGATCCTAGTGACAGAAGTCTATCCGTTAACTCATAAAAAATGTATTTTATGAATTAAGTTGTTTCCTTTTTTTTTTTTATTTTTTATTTTTTTTCATTTTTTCGGGTTGTAATTAAAAGAGTATAAATATATAAAAATGTGTGTATTTATGTATTTAGGTACGCACTTATTTACATGTAGATAAAATTTGTAATACAAATTAAAATGAAGGAAATTGAGTATTGTTGTATATTGATTATGTAGATGGTATAATAATTGTAATATTAAGCGAAGGTAGTTTAATAAATAAATGAGTTTGTTTGCAACCTTGTCTGATGTTTGTATCTTTTAATGGCGAAGAGGAAAATTAATTAATTTATTGAGTAAAATGGCGTGCAATTTGTCTAATGTTGCGTTTCCCGGACAGTTTGATCCACGGACTGATAATTGGAGTGAATATAAAGAACGTTTTTTTGTATGCTTTAGAAGCAACGAATGTAAATGGTGACGACGTAAACAAAGCACGTGCGTTGTTTTTATCACAATGTGGAAAGGAGACTTTTTCATTAATTGTTTCATTATTAGTGCCTAGAAGACCTACTACAGTGGCATTTAATGACATTTTGGCAGTGCTTGAGCAATTCTATGAACCTCAAGTGAATGAAATCTTACAATCTGATAAATTTCATAAACGTCAACAAAGTCAAAGTGAAAATATTCAGGAATATATTGCAGATATCGGCTCGCTGGCTTCTAGATGCAATTATATAGACTTAAAAAGACAGCTAAGAGATCGGTTAGTGTTAGGTGTGCGCGACGAGCGGCTCCGATGCGAGTTGTTAAGGACGAAAAATCTTACGTATGAGTTGGCGGTGCAATTGAGCCTAAACTATCAAAGCACATTTTTGGATTTGTACCCAGATACAGGGTTGTTAAAACAAACTCCGTCCACAATCACGGAACAGATGGATATTGGTCTAATTAAATTGATCAAGTGTCGTCGTTGTACACGGTCACACAACAGTGGTGATAGATGTCCTTATATAAAAGCCAAATGTTTTTATTGCAAAAAAATTGGACATATTGCTGCTGCTTGTATGAAGAGACCTAACAGAGTCCACCGGGTGGAGGAAAGTCTGACTTCCAATTCTGGAGATGAAAAACCTGATTACATGATGAGCACATTTGTTTGTTCAGATAATTGCCAATCACCATTGAAAGCAGAAGTAATTATCAACAGTGTAAAGGTTACTATGGAAGTGGACTCGGGTGCTGCAAGGACTATCATGGCTGAAGAGACATACAAAAAGCTGTGGGCTGTTCCACCACCCTTAGAGAAGACACGCGTGAAATTGGTGACGTGGACCCGTGAAGAACTAAAGGTTTTAGGTCAAGCTCATGTTCGAGTGTCATTAGGAAACAAAGAAGCTCAATGTGAGCTGTTAGTGGTTTTGGTTTTGGGCCTAGCCTTTTAGGAAGAAATTGGTTTGTATATTGGCCATTGAGATAGCTGGTATATGCTGGACAGAAAATGAAAAGATTGATGAACTATTAAAATCTTTTCCAGAGTTATTTAAAGAAGGTCTTGGAGAGTACAATGGACCACAAGTATCGTTGAAGTTACGACCTGATGCTTCTCCGCGTTTTTTGAAGGCGCGCCCTGTATCGTTTCCCTTAATAAAACAAGTAGAAGAACAATTGACGCGAATGGTTGATGAAGGGATTTTAACCCCTGTAAAATATTCCCAATGGGCAACACCTTTAAGAATTATGAAAAAGGATGATGGCTTCCTGCGCATATGTGGTGACTACAGGTCAACTGTTAATCTAGCAATTGAGACTGATATCTTCCCATTGCCAGCTGCTTGTGAATCATTTGTGAAATTAAGTGGAGGAAGGGTGTTTAGTAAAATTGATTTGAAACAAGCGTACATGCAGCTGAAAGTGGATGAGGACACTGCTATGCTTTTGACACTCAATACTCCATTAGGATTAATGAAAATGAACCGTCTCGCTTTTGGAGTAAATGCAGCTCCTGGTATTTTCCAACGTGTAATGTCTACAGCACTGGCAGGGATGGATGGGGTAGCATGTCTTTTGGATGACGTGGCTATTACTGGCAGAAATAATGAAGAGCATGATCAAAGGCTATGGGGTTAAATCTGAACAAATGTGTATTTGCGTCAAATCAGATAAGTTTCTTGGGACATATGATTGATGCTGAGGGATTGCACCCATCATTGATTAAAGTAAAAGAAATAAAAGAGAAACCAGCACCTAGGAACAAAGAAGAATTACGTGCATTTTTGGGGTTATATAACTTTTGAAAAATGAAAAATTTATTAAAGATAAAGCCACAATACTAGAGCCCTTGTATCGATTACTGGAGGCAAAGAAACTTTGGATATGGGGTCCATTGGAACAAATTGCTTTTGAGAAAGCTAAAGATGTGTTGTCTTCAGATTTAACTTTAGTTGGTTATGATTTAAAGAGAGATGTATTGTTATTTTGTGATGCATCAGACTATGGTGTGGGTGCAATTATTGCACATGTGATGGATGATGGATCAGAACGACCAGTGATGATGGCATCCAGAACGTTACAACCCCATGAACGACGGTATGGACAAATCGACAAGGAAGCTCTAGCCATAATTTTCGGAATTACAAAATTTCATGAATTTCTATTAGGAAGGAAGTTTTGTATTATTACTGACCATAAGCCGCTAATCGGTATATTTAGTCCAAATAAACCTATTCCTGATCAAATTTCACCTAGATTGTTACGATGGTCATTAAAGTTGGGGTGTTATGAATATGAAATTAAATATAGACCTGGGAAATATATTGGTAATGCAGATGCTCTCAGTCGATGGACATCTGTAAACACTTCAGAAGAACAAGGAGTGGATCTATTAGCCGATGTGTTACTCCTTGAGGAACCTCCCCCTGGATTGAATCTGGATGCGGCAAGAATTGCTGCTGAGACTAAGAAGGACCGCGTATTGCAAAAGGTGTTATTTCACGTCCTACATGGTTGGCCTCCTAATAATACTGATCCCACTCTCAAGCCGTATTGGACACGTCGTGAGGCTCTTTCACACAATAAAGAATGTCTATTGTGGTGTAACAGAGTCATTGTACCTGTCTCCTTACAACAGCAGGTACTGAAGGTATTGCATGCACCGCATGCTGGTATAATCCAGACGAAAGCTTATGCTAGAGGATACGTATGGTGGGTTGGTATGGATGCACAAATAGAGTCTACAGTGGCTGCCTGCGAGTTGTGTCAGGACGTAAGAAACAATCCACCGAGAGAACCACATGCTTGGAATTTGCCCGATAAGCCATGGAGTCGTGTCCATGTTGATTTTGCTGGCCCATTCCAGGGGAAGGTCTTTTTTGTTATGATTGACAGCTACAGCAAATGGTTTGAGGTTTTTATATTACCAAATATGAGCAGCGAAGCTCTTATATCAAGTTGTCGTAAAATTTTTGCCTCACAGGGACTGCCCGAAAAATTAGTTTCGGACAACGGTAGAGCCTTTAGCTCGAGTGAATTTAATAAATTTCTGCAAAATAATCGTATCGAACATTTATATTCGCCCCCATATCACCCGGCTACGAACGGACAAATCGAGCGAGCGATACAGACGTTCAAAAACAAACTTAAGAAAATGTCGGATGCAGGGTTGTCATGGGCTGAGAAACTACCTCGAGTGTTATATTCGCTCAGGACGGTGCCGAACCATCTAGGAAAGACTCCTGCAGAGCTGTTGAATGGACGTAAATATAGGACTGCGGTGTCAGCATTGCATCCGGATAGTGGGCCAAACCGCTCGGAGCGACAGCTGGAGGAGGAAGCACAACGGATTTCTACCCGAACCTTTGCGATAGATCAGCCAGTTTTGGTTCGTGCCTATGGACCAGGAGAGAAGTGGCGACGGGCCACTATCGAGTATGTCGAAGGTCCAGGTTGTTATAGGGTGAGAACGGAAGATGGACAGTTGATCTGTCGACATGTCGACCAAATACTGGCACGGTCCAACGACCAAACTGTAAGCCAGTCTCCTGACACCTTGCCCATATCACCTCAATTCCGCAGAGGATCAAGTTCTTCTGGATCTGAATCACCAATACGAATTCCACCACCAGAAATGTGGCCTGAAATTATTGGCATACCAAACGCTGACTGAACTTGTGATAGAGCAAGCAGTAATTATTTACACATTATTAGAACAAATAATATTACAGTTATTGGTTGGACCTGTTATTGTTAATTATACCTTAACATTATGTTGTAACTTGATTATTGTGATGGAAAGGTATGTTGTATATTGATTATGTAGAGGGTATAATAATTGTAATATTAAGCGAAGGTAGTTTAATAAATAAATGAGTTTGTTTGCAACCTTGTCTGATGTTTGTATCTTTTAAGTATATTTCATGCCCTTAAACTATCGCTAGTGGATGACCAGAGGCATAGTGTAAGTAGTAGCGTAATAAAAATAAATGACATCATCAAATAACTAAGTCCAAACAATTCCAAACATTTTATGAAAGCTACCCTAATATAAAAGTACACTTAATAAACTAAACCAATCGGTTTGTTATTAGTAAATAAATGTAGAATCGAACACCACAAAAAACCCGTTAAGAATTCTGCAAGGCTGATGTATTAGCTTTTCTGTAAGACCTTATACTACAATGTAAACACAATTGCCATTTAAAGAAGCCAGGCGCAATAAAATTCAATTTAAATAAAAACAATTATTCTTGCTATGAAGTATTAAATTCTATGTTGTGATTGTAGTTGCAGTAATTAAATAATTGCAAACAGACATAAAGATATGATCAGGAAAATATTTTACATATTATGTAGGTTTTGTGAGAAGAACATATCGTATAAATAATTTAAGTTAATCAGATTAATTATTGGAATAAGAAATTATAAAGTTAATCATGAAATAATTAACTATTTCCATAATAATAATGAGATAAAGAAATCGCAGCTATCTCACGACATTATTCGAGCAAATCACTGGTAGCTGAAGCTAGCATTGGAAGCTGTTCAGTTTTGGGATTGTAAAGCTTTTCCAATTTATAATTTTACATAATTATTTATTCACTAGAGATCACAAACATCTTTGGCGGTATTTGCATCTGCAGTAGGGATTTTCGTGGTCTGAGTGGAATAACATTCACCAAGAAACTTTGTATCGATCTAAGAAGCAGGCTAACGTCCGGTTTCTGAAACACTAATCATCGTAGAAAATAAGTAAACGTTGATCAGATCGATCAGAATTATCAATTTAAAGAGTTTCACCATCCTTTCAGCAACTGAAATAGCATTTGAGAAGCCATTTGACAGCTGATTAGTTAATTTATACGATGATCAGTGTTTCAGAAACCAGGCGTAAATAGCTTCGAAACGGAACCCGTGTATGGATTCCGTTTTGTGCTCCGTGGTTGTGAGTTTGGTTCGGTTGCCAATCTATAAGCCGACCCAAACCTTAAAACTATGCGAACAGAACCTATATAGAATATAATTGTCAGTACCTTCATAGAAAATCTGGTTTAGGGCTTTTGTAATTCCATGAATAGGTATTTTAATGTAATAAATTCTTTCTTGTTTATTTAATGATAAGATAAAACAATAGCGATAGTTAATAATTGACGACTTAATGACTGATATTTTATTGAACAAATAAATTGTAGCTGATTCAAATGTATATGTGACATATACCTTCAGCAATAATTATAACACTGAATTCCATTGGTTTAAGTCAGAGGACTGGACTGACTAGGTAGAGACCTAACCTATGGTATAAATTATAATGTATGATTAAGATTTTTACTATCTGGATATCATATTAAATTAATCTTCGATATTTTCCCATATACTGTATATATTACTATACTGTATACAATTCCATACATTTTGCTTGATATTATTGCCTAAGTAAGATATTAATTAAGAGTATGATTTCTCAAAATTTACACCAGTGTTTAACAAACTTTTTTGGAGTACCGCCAACTTTAGAACTTTGAAAAATTTTAAATAAAGATATAAAGAAAGATTTTCAACGTAACGTTATACCTACTATCCTCAGCTAACCGATATTTATATAGCGATCCCAATATAATTTTTTCAATCGCCCTCTCAGGGCAACACGGGGGGCAGTATGACCCATTTTGAGAGCTATTAATTTACACTTTCTACATATTCTCACCAAGATATCAATCGAAAATAAATATCTGGAAATATATATTATATTATTCGGTTATGCAATAATTACCATTTTGGGCTTGAAAATGGAGACTTGAAATGCATACTGCTGCAGGACTAAACAACTGCTATTATAATTATGAACGTCTAGAATGCATAATTTAATGCGTTTTTTACATGGAGGGAAAATACAAGTTTAAAACTAATTTTGACTGCCCAAAATTGACAACACTCTATACGCAAATAGTAAGAAACAATTTATTGAATTTTGTAGTCTTATCGACTGAAAACGAAAACTTCATTGAGTTTAGGATCCCTATTTTAATGTGTTATTTTCTTGTAGAATTGATAACTATAGCACCGTAGTTTCTTAAACTAAATGGAGAAGGGCCATATAGCTACACCTTTTATATATTCACATTTAAACGATTAAATAAATAAAACTAAAACGTGAATTTTTTTTTAATTTTTTAATGAACCATAGATTATATGTGTTGACCAATGAAGGTAAGGTAAGATGAAACCCTCGCGTACGCAGATGGGTAACCAATATCGCATCCGAATCTAATACCAAACGAAGTAATACCAATCTGAAAACAAAAATTTAAAATTATATTTTATCCATAATGTTATTTATCCTTCGTTTACATATTTCTTCTTTGCACCATGAATCTTTCATTTTCTTTCTGGACTTACTTCTTGTATGTACTTTCACCATAAAATAATTTGGGTTTTACCAACCGACTAACAAAGAGTAAATATGTAAAATGTAGAAGTAAACTGAACTGATCGACACAAAGAACCTAAACAACTCAAAGAATTGTAACGCTTTATATTTTTCGTTATTCTTTACACAGAGTCTCAAAGATTTTAAGGTTTATAAAATTAATTATGATGCAAAAATAAAAAAAGTTTATTCTTACCACAATCATTCTTCCGTTGTGGTTGAGGGCTAGCGGGCCACCAGAATCACCGCCGCATACTCCAACGCCACCGGTGCCGCTGGTGCAGATGTGCGAGTCTTGGATAAGCGCCGGGAAGGCAATGTTGCAGACACTATTAGCGATTACGCTTAGGCTTACATGACTCAGGAACTGGTTTGTTGATATAGAACCACCTGCAAAAAATTTTTCACTGAGGTACCAGTTTACCAAACTGAAAGTAGCAACTATGATTAATGGTCGTATAAACAGTAGTAATTTAAGATTTCATAGTTATCCATCCTCTTATTCTTTTTTCATACATTTGTTTGCTTCATGACGTTATGTATGCATGAGATATCACTATTAATTACCTGTACTGGTAAGACCAAATCCTGACGCGATAGCACGGGATCCAGCGAAGGTCTCACTGGCCTCAGCTTGCGTCGGCAATGCAATCGGTGCAATAGTAGCTGTTCACAAAAGGCAATTAAACACTTAAAATTCTTGTTAATTTATACGCTTTAAATACAAATTGTCTGCGAAAATACCTGACGTAACTACCGAGCTGGGTAGGTAAATTATAGCGACGTCGTTACGGACCAGAAATGGGAACCAGTTAGGGTGCATGATCACAACGCTCGTTTCTAATCTGGTTCCACCTGAGAACAGCAATATCGATCCAAGAACGACGGTAACTCGCCAGGCTTGATTTTGTCCATCGAACCAGCAATGGGCGGCTGTCAAGACCCTGTTAGAGCTGATGAGTGAACCACCGCATACGCCTCTGCCAGTTGTGCCAACAATATCAGTAATAAGACCAGCCTAAAACAAAAACATTATCAGAAATTTTAAATTTCATAATGAACAGACATCGAAAGTGAATTTCAAGTCCGAACCTGATACGGGTACTGGCCTAGCGCAGCAGGTACTCCACCGACGATTCTAGATCCGCTCAAGTAGGCTTCCTCGGCTTTCTGGATCCTTTCTGCTTCAGGAATACCAATGTTTTTCAGGTATCCATAAGCATTGTGGTTGTCGGGCACCACTGGCCCAACGGACTTGGCGCTGGTCACGAAAACGAGTGCAGCTATAATTAGGAATACCTTCATTTTATCAACTGAGCGCAAAATGTTCCAGTACCATTTATATAAGCACTCAAAACTTGATATAGAACAAATCTGATTTAGATCAAATGAAATAACGATAAACTTGTTGATTAATCGTTGCGATTACAACCCACAAACATTACTGGATATCTTTACTTTTATTTTCTTGAGATTTAAACAGCACGTATGACCATAGCACTTATTTACACGCTCTAACAATGCTTACTACTATCAAATATCGGATTGATTAGATGTATCCCGTGATAAACGATACATGTTGCACATATCGTTCATCAAAAATAACTGATATGATGTCTTAAAGTAGGTTTAAAACATTTCGATATCATTTTCGTAATAAAGAAATCATGAATATCTTGAGTCGGATTAATTAAAACATGTTTCACTTAACCGTTATAATTAATTACGAAGTAAACAACTCTGCTTATCCCTTGGTCATGAACGCTGTGAAGTATTCGTAACCTCGAGAAACGTTGAAATAGAAAAAAAAGTTTAATCTCACCGGCCATGACATCCTACAGCAAACGCTTATTTCATTCCTGCTGCATTTAGGTATCAACAATACTGGCATTAAAACGAAAAGGTTTATTTCATCTGTCTAATTTGCATCAATTAAGTGGAAAATAAGTTTCGATCTCTTTGTCCGATTCCTAAGCGAAGCTTTCAGAATTTTAACATTAGTCCCGCTTAATAATAGAATTAGATGCAAAACGTGATGCGTACATGCGCATCAGAACAGTAGACAACCAAAGGGTATCAAGTCCACTAAAGTTTACTCACTCACCTAATGAAAGCAAAGTATAATAGTTCAACTTCACGCTGGTCTTCTGTGAGGTTGCGGAAACCGAAAAAAAAAAAAAACAAAAATTAATCGAATTTAAAGAGATAACAAGAATAAAAAGAAATAACAAGTGCCTTCGTAAATACATGATACACAAATAATAATTTATTGTATTTTCTTATTTAGTAACGATACATAAAGTCAGTATCATAAGTATATTTGTTGTACCCAAGAGATTTTATCTTTTAACACCGTACAAGTGTTGAGATTAATATGTATTTGTAAACACTCACATCAGGCACAGCACAGGATAAACGATTTAGGCTTGATTATAAGACTAGATATTGTAAAAATAATTCCATTCTACTTAGCCTTCCAAATTTTTTAGATTACATCGATGATGTTTCATTTAAAAATTCATTTAAGTTAATCATTAGCATGTTTGATATTCTATAACGTCACTTAACATAGCGAAAGCAGGCAAACTATTTCTCAAGCATGCTTTAATAAACTAATTTAGCTTTTTTTTGGGCTAGATGAGATGTTGGCCTTAGTGACCTTTACAGTTCCGCCGGATTAGAGGTGGCAGGGCGCTCGGGGTGCCTAGCCTGAAACTCGGCGTATTATTATTATGCGTTATGGTGTCTAAGGTCGAGGGCTCCCGAGGGAGCCTCGGGCCATCACGCTATTATTCATTTCACCGGTTTGGGAGGTCGCCAAGCTTTAAGTGCGCATTGGCAGACGCTCCATGGAGTGACTAGGCCGAGAGGGGACCTCAGCTTGGCTGTCGCTCATTACGCGTTTAGCATTCCGATTTTATGGTGCCCGAGAGGGCCGGACCTCAGTTCAATCGGTAGCTATTATCTTACTGGAAGAATTTCTAGATATATCGTTTTTTTATGTGAAAAGTTGCCAAGCGAGCAGGCGTTATCACCTGGTGTTAAGTGAATACCGCCACCCATGGACATCTACACTCGAGGGTCGCAGGTGCGTTGACAACCTTTTGAAATTTGGTCTCCGGCTACCTCACTCACCAGACGAATCGCGAAAGTATTATACTTCCACTTGACGCCGGTTTTCTGTGAGGTCGTGGTACTTACCAGGACGAGCCTGCCCATTCGTACAACAGCCGAGGCTGCTGCTTGGCCCTACCACCGTAAAATCATTACTACCACTTCGTAAAGCTTTGGCGCTCTTTATCCTTTCGATTGCAATAGCCGTCTCATTGTCAGGAAAGTCGAGAACGCGTCGCGGTCTACGGTAACTGCGGCGGAAAGTACCTAGCGTTGTAGGTCTGTAGACGATGACGACGGCACGTACGACTAGCGGATTGGGATGCGCGGCGACCGATGCAAAGTATCGGCGCGACGCCGATTTCAGGAATTAAGCGGGGGTGGGCAACTCGAGATCGACATGTAGATCGATTTTGCGCATGAACCAGGAACTCAAGCAACAAGAGCGACGGTTCTTGATACGGTTTTTTACTAGATAGAGTAGTTTTTACTAGATTTTTCATAGAGTAATTCAAAAGAAAGGTTTATATGTATAATACACTGCACCCGTTCGAAGCAGGGGCGGGTAGCTAATAATATATACAAAAACAAACATACATTATAGAAAAATACAAACACTTGTTGTCAAGTAGATAAATAATGTCTCTCGATCCTACTACGTAAACTGTCAAGGGAAGAGCTGGCACGTATGTCATGTGGTAGTGAGTTCCATAACTTGACCGCCTTTACATTAAATAACGCATCATACCTTTTAGTAAAGTGAGTAGCTGTTTTAAGAAGGAGGGATTTCGTAGTCCGACACCGAGTTCCGGGAGGTACCAGATATTCAAACCTCTGACATACCAAACCAGGCCATCAGAAACGAGAAAATTGCTTTTGCACTAACTTCTTCAGAATTTTGGACATGACTGGAAAAATCGAAATTGGACGAAATTGTGACAGGGATGTGGGCGTGGGAATTTGGGAAGGGGAATAACGAAAGCTTTTTTCCAGCAAGAAGGGAAGGAGCTCATTTAAAGAATTGATGAGATGAGTGATAATAGGAGCCTATTCGTTAGTGATAGGTTTGATCATTTGAATGGATATCCGATCATAACTAATCGCTTTTGTGGAAATCGATTTTATACATTTCATCTTCACTTATTTCACTTGTATATATTCTTACGCCAACACCACATGGCACTATTTTAGTGGTAGAATAGTTCCCACTGCTAACCACTGCTAGTTGCTTATTTTTGATGGAGCTAATCTAGCTACAATGATGACTATTTTTTGTTCAATCTACGTGTTTTGTTATTCTCATTATATACGTATATACTTTATATTGTTTAAAACATTTTTAAATTCTAATTTAACTTTTTAATCACTGTGTATGATAAAAGATATCATAGAGTTTATTACTGTTTTAGCATATTTTTACTTTACCCTTCCGAAAATACAATAATATAAAAGTGAGTGCTATAAAAATATAATATAGAGAAATATATAGTAGTGTCTGCCACTGTAGTCTCTTTCACAATATACAGAAGGGCTTCTAAATATTGCATGTTTTTGTATTTTTGTAATTATGTGAAACATATTATTCTCACGAGCTAGAGGTTCAGGCGCTAAGGGGCGACAGACGGGCGCGTTGGAATTCTGGATGCCGCCCAAACCCTCACGTACTAATTTTCACTTCACTTTTCCGCTTCCTTCTTTTTCGAGTTCCTCCACTGAACTGCCCGTCTAGCACGCTCCCTTTCATAATCCGAATTTCGGTCATCCTTGCGGCTAAAACATTTTAGAAACGATTTGAATTTCGCTCTTATTTTTTGTAAAACTCTGTAATCAGAGCCCGACTTACGATCGTCTCTTTAATAGAAAATTCCGGAATAAGAACCTTCTTTCACTCTTCTCTACTAATTTTAAATAAAATCAAATACTTCATATGAAACTGTTATCGCAGGTCGTTGACGTTTAAGACGACAATGGGACCTCCCCAAAACATTTGTAACTTAAGTGACTGTTTTACTAATACTGAAATTCGACCTTAATGGTTATAGAATATTTCCAAAATATATTCCCAGCATTTCTAAAAATGCAATGGAACAAACGTAGATAGATGTCAAGATTTTTGAGCCGTGAGGTGATCGTCCGCTTAGTTTTGTTGGTATAGCGGGTGGGCGCTAAACCAAACGCAAGTTTGAATTCCGCAGCGCCGAAATTTTTTGTTCATTTATGTACAAAAACTTACAATATTAAACTTTCCTTTTTTGCTACATTCATGTAACCTAACCACAACTGTATAAAGCATAACCAGTGTATGTAGATAAATACACGTATGCATAAGCTCAGGAGTCAGGAGGACTTTTGAGTGTCAGGTTGGCCGAATCGCCGCCGGTCCGGTAAGTAGTGCTAGTTGGTTCGCGCCAAAAATGTTATTATGTACTGACCGCATGCAGAGTACTGAGTAAACGGGGAAAAATTGTTCGCAGTGAGTTAAGCACATCAATTTTCGTTTTTTATGTGATTCATTATATTGAGTGTAATTAATAATGTTTCAGTTAAACAGTAAATTCGTCAAATAATTGCAAATGATTATAATTTTCTCAAAAAAAAATCAATTCACGGAACCTCATCGGGACGCGAGAAGCTTGCTAGTCGCGTCGGCGCCAGTGCAAATACCAAAGTGCGCACAATGGCTCCGGTATTGGTAAATGGGTTCAAACAGCCAGAGAAGAAGGCCTTTACTCGGCTCATGGTTGACGAAGCCCTTATGAACCACTTTGGAGCCATTGTGATGGCAATGCGACTGAGCGAAGCTAAAGAAATCCTGCTGATTGGTGACATCAACCAACTCCCCTACATTGACAGGGGAAACCTCTTTCCAATGCAGTACACTCGCCCAAACCTAGTGGCAGGCGTCAGTCAGGAACTGCTGTGTACGCATAGGAACCCGATGGATGTAGCATATGCTCTCAACGAAATATACAGTGGCATATACTCTTCCAGATCCCTTGTGCATTCGTTGAGTATCGAAAGATACTCCAACTCGCAAATACAGAAAACTCGTCCAGAAACGCTTTTCCTAGTCTATACCCAGGCGGAAAAAGAGGCCCTTATCAACCAGGGATATGGATCGGGCAACGATTCGTGGGTTCTCACCATCCATGAAGCACAAGGACTAACATACGGGTCAGTCGTTCTCATGCGTACAAAAGTGAGCAAGCTAGAGCTGCACGACAGCGTTCAGCATGCCGTAGTGGCGGTATCCCGGCACACGGTCAGCTGTGTTTACTACACAGACTACTGTGACGACGCAGCAGGCCGCCTTATACAAAAACCTGCAAGATAAGAGACTACAACCTTAAAATGGCAATTAGGAACAGAGACGCAGCGGTCGCAGAGAGACTAGCAAAAAAAAAATAACACCTATTACCAAATAACCTGCGACGAGATCTCCGTCCATTCTCCCTATATATATATATATATATATATATATATATATATATATTTTTGTATAAGGCGGCCTGCTGCGTCGTCACAGTAGTCTGTGTAATAAACACAGCTGACATATATATAAATATGAACTCACTGCTCCACCGCTACCAGCCCGGTTGATGTACGCTATGGTGACAGCCAAAAAGAAAATTTAAAAAAAAACATAACAAAAAAATTAACCAAAAAAAAAGAGTACGGACCACGAGTCTGTAGAGTTACTTTGTTAAAATAAAAAAAAAAAACCTCATCGGGAACTCAATTGTGAATTATCTCATTTGCATAATATAACAAAGTGAACTGCAAAAGCGGCGGGAGTTAGTAAAAGAATAGTGCATATTAAATGAAGAATGAGATTAATATTAAAAGAAGAAGGAAATGTCGATTACACGTGTTCAACATTTAATTTGCTGTTAAAAAAACAAAGAAAGAGGTAGTAATACATAATATGACAATACATAATTCACTTGTTTGATTTGTGTGTAACGTTTAATTTAATAACATAAAAATTAATAGAAATATATTTTACCAATACCTTATTTGATTTTCTAAACGTAAACAGAAAAATAAAACAGTTATTATTATTTTGTAAATTAACGATGAGGTTGCTAACGCTAGCTGCAGTTATGTATATAAGAGCATTTGTTGGTACACATTTCAACTACAAGTTTGGTTCAACCGATCTCGTGAGTTAAATAACTATACTATCGCTGACATTGTCTCGGTTTTGGTCTAAGTTTAATAAAGTCTAGCGGTGCAAGTAAAATTGCATCCGGCTTTAGGTTGACCTTACCGATTATTTCCTTTTCTAAAGATAAAACTAAGTTTTATTGCCATATTTCTTAGCTGTACACTTAAATACACAGGAAGTTGGGGTCTAGTTTTGGTGAGAATCTTGATAAGTGAGTCACAGCCACCGAATAAATGCCGAGTATTCATTTGCTGTGTCAATGGTGGGACAAGACTTTGAGCAGAACTCCAGCAAATCCCCGGTATATTTAAATAATAATGAGCATATTCAAGACTTAACGTTTCTACATAATTATCTGGCGTAAACAGAAACAAACGTGACTATGCGTTACTACAACTCAAAGCAATATTTTTACTTATCTGTACGAAACGCAATTTGACAGTATCATCTTGTCTTGTTTGTACTTATCACAGCAAAACGTTTTAGTGATTTATTTTTCATAAAATGGAAGAAATTGGTATTATTTTACCCGAAAAGGTAATATGTTCTACATTGCTAAAATAGACAAATATCTGCAACAAACTGTAACCAACTTTTGATTTGTAGGATGATCAAGTTACCGACACCAAGGGATTGCAATTTGTCGGACCTCAGACATTTGATGAACTGGAGTCAGAGGACTTATATACAAAATATAAGGTAATTCTTTAACATTGTACGATTTTTTCCTTTATAGTTAATACATAGTTAATGAAAAAAGAGTTTACATTACTAATGTCCTCGTCACTTTTTCATTGGTGTATAATGTTTGTTTGTTTTTTACGCATTACAAAAAACATTAATTATTAACAGAAATTACAACGAATGTTGGAGTTCTTAGAAGTACAAGAGGAGTATATAAAAGATGAACAAAGAAATCTAAAAAAAGAATACCTTCACGCTCAAGAGGAAGTAAAACGTATACAATCTGTTCCTCTTGTTATTGGACAGTTTCTTGAAGCAGTAGATCAAAACACTGGCATAGGTATGACTATTAAAACTATAATTTATTAACTATTTAGTTTTTTATTTTCAAATAGCAGTACACTAATATTTACAGAGATGGACTTTATTGCTGTATTTATTCTCATACTTTAAACAAATATTTAAGGAACTCACTTTCATTTTCAATTCATCACTTTTTAAAAGTTTTTTTTTTGTCATTTATGGAGGTAAATGCACTATTGTACTAAAACAATATTACTATTATTTTCAGTTGGCAGCACAACTGGCTCTAATTACTATGTCCGTATCCTATCCACAATTGACAGGGAACTTTTAAAGCCTTCAGCATCTGTTGCTCTTCACAAACATTCAAATGCCCTTGTTGATGTACTACCACCAGAAGCTGACAGTTCAATTTCTATGCTGCAAGCAGGTAAAGATATATATATTTTATTTAAATTTTTTAAATTAATTATAAATATACAAGAAGTGTATTCATTAATACAAAATTCTCATGTAATTAGTATAAGTGACAATAGTTATACTTGCTAATGTTAATAAGATTATAACATGGAACAATGTATTGGTTTACACATACTTCCCAAACAATTAAATGCATTCTGAAACATCTCACTCTGCATCTCCTCAGACAGAATTATTTTTTATTATTTTTTAACTTATTTTTTCAGATGAAAAACCTGATGTTCAGTACTCTGACATTGGTGGAATGGATACTCAAAAGCAAGAAATTAGAGAGGCAGTGGAATTACCCTTAACTCATGTTGAACTATATAGACAAATTGGTATTGAGCCACCCAGAGGTGTACTTATGTATGGACCACCTGGCTGCGGCAAAACTATGTTAGCAAAAGCCGTTGCTCACCATACAACGGGTAAGAATCGGTTTATGAAATTTAAGCCTATGATTTTCATAGTTATAATCCGACTCATGCTTTTTGATGTTTTAATGTAAATATTTATGAATAAAATATGTAAGTATTAATTTAAATTTTGCAGCTGCCTTTATACGTGTTGTGGGTTCAGAATTCGTCCAGAAGTACCTGGGCGAAGGCCCACGAATGGTCCGCGATGTTTTCCGTCTAGCTAAGGAAAACAGCCCTGCAATTATTTTCATTGACGAAATTGACGCCATTGCTACGAAACGGTAAAAAAGTTTATTTATACATGTAATTGTCAAAATGATAGGTTCGTGTGTGGTATTTTTTAATGTTCTTTGTCATACATTTTTCAGATTTGATGCCCAAACAGGTGCTGATAGAGAAGTGCAGAGGATTTTACTGGAGCTTCTTAACCAAATGGATGGTTTTGATCAAACCACCAATGTCAAAGTAATTTTATTATTTTAAATGTGCACAATATAATTTTGTATGGCAAACCTATTAGGACTAATTCAGAGATTAACAGATTTCAGAACTTTAATTTGTGATAATTCATTGGACAATCACCCGAATAGCCTACCTTTGATAATCTTATTAATATGTTTTCCCCATATTATATGACAAATTTATAGTATGACAACATTAAAATGAAAAAGACCCAATTTTTGTTTTTTAAATTGTATTTTTTAATCACTTTCTTTTTAAGCTTAAATTTTATATATAAGCTTATCAAGCTTATATATAAAATTTGATCAGCCTACAGTTTCTGCCAATATAATGATAGGTTTAGACTGGATAACAAGGAAATCCATAAAAACATTAATTTTCTATTTTTAGGTTATTATGGCCACTAATCGTGCGGATACTTTAGACCCTGCCCTCCTTCGACCTGGTCGTCTTGACAGAAAGATTGAATTTCCCCTTCCTGACAGGTAAAAGAAAATGATCTTACTAAAAAGTAAATATTATATTATATTTTTTCACATTTTTTTGGTCTTTAGGCGTCAAAAACGGTTGATATTTTCAACAATCACCGCCAAGATGAACTTGTCTGAGGAAGTAGACCTGGAAGAATTTGTTGCGCGACCGGATCGCGTATCTGGCGCAGACATAAATGCCATTTGCCAAGAAGCTGGTATGCATGCCGTAAGGGAAAATAGGTAAGTCTTTTAAACATACATATACCCACAATGAAGAGCTATAAAATAAATGTTGTGTGTGCAATGTTTTGATACCATATGCTTGCAACCTTTCTACAACCAGATTGCATTTATTAATTTATCTCTGATTATTGCTTCCTGGAATGTGATATATGAAATTAATTAAACATTCACTTGTTGTTTCAGGTATATAGTACTGCCGAAAGATTTCGAGAAAGGTTACAAAAATAACATTAAAAAGGATGAGAGTGAATATGAATTTTATAAATAAACACTTCAATTGTTTCTTAATTGTAAAGTTACAAGTAAGAATCTTGTAACAATCATTTGCATTATCTTTATCTCAAATTATAAATAAAGTATGGTAAATAGATCACATCTTTTATTGGTCCTGCATTCTCTTTAGGCTTTTTTTTTTAATTTTTAAATAAATCAAAAAAGTTACCACAATGCATTTTTGATAATACAGCAATAATAATAATGCATACAAAATACATAAGAAGTCAAAGAAATAGTCAACCATCCCTGTATGTGAGAAAACAAAATCATGGGGTTTAATGTGTCCTAAGACTTCCCGTACAAGTACCATGGCCTTATAAAAGGCCGACGCAGACTAGAAAAGTTTGCAAGAAATATGAACGTAGTGCCCCGCGAATCCTGACCGCCGTTAGTTACACCTAATAGCGCTTCACTAGCCTTCGATGACTGTAAAAACCGAAAAAAATACTTGGCGGAAAACCTAGAGTTCAAACGTTAGCTATCTCGTGAACACGTCAAATTCACCAGTCGGATGTGGACCGTGTTTTCACATAGGGCTTCGATAGCACAAGCAGGCGGCTCTTTGAATTTAAAGACCTTGGAAGAAAAGATTATCAAAAACCTAACACAGAAACAGTGTTTACTTTTTGGAGTTAGGATGTTTATCCCAATTCCAAACTCTCCGCGATTATTTGTTTCCCTACGGTAACGAGTATTTTCAATGCGCCTTCCTTCATGTTCCTTCCCGGACACCTGGAAGGATGTAATAGTTTGCATTCACAATTCTAACAAACCACTCAACCAAGCCACCTACTTTTGGCCCACTGCCTAACGATGCTGGTAGGAGCGCATCATTCTCAATAGGCTTTAGGACCATTTCTACCATTGACCAGTTCATTCTCCCATAACTCCTGTCCAAATCCAAAATTTCAAAAGGTTGTAAACGCATCTGAAACCCTCGGGTGTAGCAGATGTCCATGGGCGGTGGTATTTACTTAACATCAGGTGAACCGTCTGCTCGCTTGACAACTTCTCACATAAAGAAAAGAAAAAAAATTCAAAATATCTTTACTCAAATCGACGCTTGCACGTTCTTCTGTAACGTCGAATTTTACATAAAAATTAATACATAAGTTTGTAAGTAAGTCACCGGTTCGGAAAGCAGTTACTGTTCAAAAGGTTGTGAACGCATCTGAAACCCTCGGGTGTAGCAGATGTCCATGGGCGGTGGTATTTACTTAACATCAGGTGAACCGACACTTATTTTAGCCTACATGAGTATCAAATTGGCGTCGTCAAGATATTCTGCAATGGTATAATCTAATAACTTTAAACGAACTTATATATATATGTATATAAATATATATATAAATATAAAAGAATGTCGGCTGCAGTGATTTTAAATATTATGCACATTCAAAAAATACATTTCATTTATCGATAGCCATTTTTTTAATCTACCGCCGTTTCGTAATGAGGTACCTTTAACGTAGAAGAAACAAGCGAAAGAAACTCCGTAGGTATCCTCTTTTTTGTCATTTTTGAACAGCTGAACCGCTTGCACATTTGTCAACCTTTTACATAAAAAAATGTGCCTAACAAGCTCGTATACACAATCTGACTTTTTTGTCGAATCTCTCTCCAAAGCCCTCTCACGGTGGTTGTTCCACAATGCTCGTGTCCTTCCCCTTTGTTCTGTCCGTACCAAAATATCCACAAGTCGGCCTCTCGATTTTAGCAGATGACACAGCGATATATTAATCGGATAAACATCTCGGCTAACTCACCATTCGCCTCCAAAAGCACTGTCGATCACCTCGGTTATTGTTTGCACAAAGGGAAAAAAGACGTCAAAGCCGAGAAGAATGCAGCAATACACATCACTCAGGCTCGTACTGTAGCTAACTCATTCTGGGAAATCAAATACGTAGGAGTCACTTTCGACCCCACCTAATAAGAATACCTAACATTGGCCACGCAAATAAAAACATAAAATACAAAGCCGCGTTCGTTTCGGTTCGGCTCTCTAATTATGCCGCCAGTAAAATTCTCTTAAGGAATCAACTGTTGTTGTACAGGGTTTGCGTACTACCCTTAATGTCCTCCTTTTTTATATTCTTTGCTCGCAAAGGCCACTACATAAACTGCAAGTTATTATATCCATCGAAAGAGCTAAAGTGTGTAGTGGTACACAAGCCGAATCCTATAGTGGTACAAAACGAATTATCACAACATAAACTTCGCCCGCAAAACGTCCTCATCGATTCGGTCGAGAAATAGGTTGCGATCAACTTGCGTCCGACATTTTTGTCGAACACAAGTTTGTATAGCACCTGGGTGAGTTGGGTTGTCGTAGAATGGCCGCCTCTAAAGCCATGTGGCTCAGGTCGTAAATTAATATGTGGCCATATTCGTCGTATTAATAATCGCTCTAGTAATTTACCCAGATGCGATAATAGGGTGATGGGGCGATAAGTTAATGGTTGTCTCCTGTCTTTACCCGGTTTCGGTAACACGAAGATTCTTCCGGTTTTCCAAACATCCGGAAAGTGCCCCGTGCGTAAACTACTGTTAAAAAGCCGCGTTATTTCCACGATACATTTTCGGGGCAATTGTCTTAGCGCCGAATTCGGTTCGCCACACCTCGGCGGGCGACATAAATGTCAGTTCACTGAGGACCGGCGCCGGGCCTAACAATTATTACTGTACGCGATAATCCACTAGACTGTAGTGCGCGCCGACCACAGGATTAGCTAAATTAGGTGGGTTTCAGTTTAAACTGGCCTAAGTGTTCTAAAATATTCGCGCGTGCTTGGGCACTATAATGACGCAAACCCGCTCCGTCAATCAAGGAAGCCGTTTCAGGGGGTGGAGTGACGTAGGATGATCTCCTGCGTCATCTACGCGTGGACTCCACAATTCACCTCGATGGTTTTTCACCTGTTCCGACAGCTCTGAAAAGTTATTTAATTCAGGCTTGATTAAAGGCCAACGAGTGCGATGCCACAGCCTACTTAACTTTACGTGCCCTTTTGCGTTTAAGTTGTACGCGTAGGTGCAGTGGTAATACATCGCTGTGCGCAGTGTCCGGGAGTGGTTTCGAATCCGCCAGCTTAGACTCCGCTATGCGTTGACTAAGTTTAACAGCGGCGCTTTCGACTTCTTCCGGAGCGGTTACAGTTAGTGCGTGCGTGTACACACGGCGAAAGAAAGCGTAACCGTCCGGACAGTCCAAGTCCATACCGAACCTTGATGGACATTCATTCTCACTAAATAGGCTTGATACAACCCAACCCAACACGTAGGGCAGTATCAAGCTCGTGGGATCTGCTATGCCACCTATGGACTAAAGCAAAAGCATATGTTAAATTAAAGAATCTACGTATTATACATATTTATAGTTCTGCATTTCTCATGAGTATAATTATAGTATAATTTCGCATGAGGGCGCCAAGTTTATACTCTCTGGCCTTGCTTTTGAAAGAAAAATCTTACTTCACAACTAGTTCATTTCAAATTCTTTGTTTACGTCCAGCTAGTTAATTTTCAAAGATAAAATCAATAAATAAAACAACAGTTCAAAATCTGTATTTTATAACAGTATCTTGTTAACAATGTAATTTAATAATATTACAATATATTTGGCATACAACCTTACGAAAACTGATACAAATAAATTACATTGATAATAACGTAATGTTCCTTTAATGAAGTGGTTTGTGATGAGAATAACTAATCAAATTAATACAACATTAAAAAAACATTAATAACAAGTCATCACTCACTTTTCTTGGTATCACTTACAATTATTGTAAAATTATGTTTTTAATGCATGTATAATGTATAAATATAATTTTATGACAACTTTTCTGTTTAATGGTTTCTCGAGAAAACAGACGCGATTCTTTTAAGTACTAAGTGCTTGAAAGAAATAAGGCACTGGTCTACATTTAATGTTTTATACAACAATTGCCGTACTATAGTAACTTAGAATGTCGAAAAAATTACGATATATCGATAGTTTTCATTTTATATCAATATTTTTAGCAGATACATTTGAATCCAATACATTGATACAAAATATTCAATATAATTCGAAAATCGTATCAGAAACGATATTTTTTCAAATTCGAATCCGGCACAGAGTCCGTACGTGTCAAATATACTTGTTATGATTTTTTTTTTGGTTTCTATGTACTAAAGAGAAAAATCGACATATCCATATTTTCTCTTCAATACATCAAGGCCGATTTTGATAATTTTATAAGTATCGGTATATTTCTTCACTTTCAACATCCCTACTTTAACTGATGAGTATACTTTTATATATACTAATGTGTATTGATTAAAACTATGAATAAATTACATTTAATTAAAAAGCGGCACCCTCGCTTAATACCTAATGGAGCGATTGAAGCAACAATTGCTAATACTATTTAAATGTCAACAAGAGTTTATCCTAATACATATACACTTGCGCAACATCCCAACCAATGCAAATCTCTGGTTACTTTTTCCACAATTACAGAATAATGTCATCCAATAGCATTCTCTAATAAAATGTTTGTGACAAAGTATGGAGTAAAGGTAGTTCTTTAATTAAAAAAAATAAAGATTAGTTTTTGGAATGTACAGCTACAAGACTGAAGGTAGAAAATACTAATATTAGATTAAAATTTTTTTTTCACTATTTTTAAGACAAGTACAATGCTAAATACACCATAAACTAAATTTTGTTAACACAACACTGAAAATATTTAAGAAGGAATGCAATATGACATTCAAAATAATAAGTACACTTTTCAAATTTGATTTCATAATACTGATTTAATATAGATTTTTTAATGTCTAAGCACTAATTGTGGCACTTGTATTTTCATAAGACTGAGCTGACATGATAAAGTTTAATTAACACATGCTGAAAAAAAATGTAAATGATAATGTGTATAATCATTAAGAAAATGCCACTGTAAAGATCAGTTTGTCATATAATACTTATTTATATTTAATTATAATGTTATATGATATTTCTTATTATTAGAAAATTAATACAATACATTTTATTAGTACAGCAAAATATATGATTACGATTTAAAAAATTCGTTAGTCATGTTCACAAGAACAAAATAATGAGATATTATTTTTCGTTATGTCTTCTTGAGTTTTAAACAGTAACAAAGTACTGAGTGGTTTGTTTTAAATTAAGGATAATATTCAATTTTCAACTATGCCAAGAGATGTTTAATCTAATTAATAAGTTTTATAAATCCATATATGGAGTGTTACTCCCTTAAGTACATACATAAATATAACTTGTACTATATGATTGTAAGACATTTAGTGGACGGGGTGAAAATATTTGAACTGAAAGTTATCACTATTAATCATATGCCTTATTCTTCTATTGTCTAAAACATGAAACACAGACTTTACTTATAAGATAAACAACAAATTTATGGCAATAAAAACGCGTCAATATTCTCAACAACAATATAAATACATGCCCAAATATTAAGAAACATATAAAAGACAAAATTAAAGGGAATGTGATAAAAGTATAGCGAGAATGTCTAAGTTTTGTATAAATAAGTCTTTAAGCTTCTTAAGTATCACAAATCTACATTTTCAATAATCTACACCATTACAATACTTTGTATTTTAGGTTCAAGTAGTTTTTTTGAGAAATTGTTTGCAAAACAGTTGTCTAAAGTAAAACAAATAAAATGGTGACTGCAGCTTCAATTACCATTTTGTGGGTTATCAGTCATGTTATATTCAACTAAAAATTATCTTATTCAAAATTGTCGATCAGTTGCTCCATTGTTGCGAAAATGGTCATATCACCAAACACGATTTTCCCATATATAATATTGTCAGTACAGATAAGTAGGTAATTCATAAAAATAAGTAAGAAAAATAAATATAACATTATATAATAATAGACTCTTTTGTTATAACTTCTTATTTATGTTAATTTAAATAAGAGTTATCTTCTTGTGTTTAAGAGTAATTGGGTTTGGATTAGAGATGGGTCTAAAATTAATAAGCTGCTAAATTAACGTTTTTTTTTAGTGTCAAACCTCTTAAATAAATTCTGAGATAGTTGTTAAATATAGTAGTCACAAGTCACAACTCTTACGAACACATATAAATAAATGGCAGCGGAGCAGTGTACAGGTATTCTGCGCGGTGACACGGACGGATATATATTTGTCTCCCTTTATCCCACTACTGCAGGCCGCAGCGCAGGAGGACGAAACAAAGGAAAGGAAATAACGCGATGACAATGATGTTCGTTCCGTCTCTCTCTATTAAATTGTTTTCATATTAGCAACTGTAAACTGTTAATTTTCTGTTCACTGTTCAGTGTTCAGTCAGACAGATTGTTATTTAGTCGAGTTGATTTAACTAACTGCTAACTGATGAATTTGGAAATGTTATATTTAATTAGTGTTAAATAAAGATTGAACTTCATTACTAGATAACTAACACGTAAATATACATAATTTGCGTGTTGTGTGACATTTTAATTGATTCTCATTTTAAATACGCCAACAGAAAGAGTTGACAGTCCTAAGCCTCTGAAAAGTTTGAAGGAAATGAGAATTAATTACGTAACAATCTGTCTGTGACCAATTTAATAGTTCCTAAAAATAACTGATAATTTTAAGTGTTAATTATTATTAGCATTAGCATTTAGCAGTATTATTAATTTTTAACGTTTAAGCATCATCTCCAGTTTGGATAAATAATATTGATTACAAGAATTTACAAATAATTTACCACTCAAACAAAAATAATAACTGATATTAGTTAAATCTTGTTAAAGCCTTCAAATGTCTAAATTGTAATTTATCAGTTTTACATAGCCTTTTCCAAATAATAATTAAAAAAATACAACATGACCATGGTGTCTCAACACTAATGCAAGAATTACAATTATATTACAACAAAATTTGTATGATTTTTTTCTATTTTACATGAAAATTTAAGACACATTAACTTTACATTCAACAGTTAGGTCCTTTTATTTTATTGAATTTTTTTCTTCATCCTTAAATAAAGATATTTTTAAACTTAACAATATGTTTAATTATTTAAACCTTTATCTTAACATCTTATTTCATAGACTCTTCAAAAGATTTGATTTTGATAAATGGAAATTGATGTTTGTGAGGTGAAAATTGTTTAAAGAAAGTACTCATTACTTTCTTTAAACAATTTTCTTTAAAGAAAGTAATGAGTAATACAAATATCACCTATTATTATAAATAAGAGAACTTCTCAGATGAAAATAGACACTTTACATAAGGCACAAATACTGGTTTTTCATAAATATAATTATAATAAATAAAAATAATAATGATAACTACTGGTGCATTTGTGTCGGTGTAGGCATTTGCTGTTGTTGATGTTGGTGGTGGGGCGGCATAAGCGGAACTAATAATGCCGGAGGCCCTGCTCGACGCAAGAAAGGATGATGTAGCAATCGTGCAGCCGATTGCCTTTGTGCGGGGTCTCTAACCAATGCACACTCCACAAATTGCAATAAGTCGGGCGGACATCTAGCAGCACCACGTGGTCGCGGTGGGGGCATATCGCGTATACGTCGCATTGCCTGAAAAATTTGATTTATAATTCTATAAATGAATAAAATAATTATTTCCATATTCTGAAATAAGTTGAATTTTTTCATGTTCTAACATACAATGTGTAAAATCAGAAAGACTTTACACCTTTTACGGTATAAAACGTTTTTAGATTTTAAGAGTCGATTAAATAATAGAGCACACAATTTATTGCTAGCATAAGATTCTAATATCATTACATATTTACCTGCAGTGGAGGCTCATTGAAAAATGGCGGTTCTCCATCAACCATTTCAACAAGCATAATGCCCAGTGACCATACATCTACCTCAGGACCATACGGAAGTCTCGATATAACTTCAGGGGACATCCAATAAGGAGTTCCCACTAAAGACTTACGCTTGGGTAATTCCTAAAAATTACAAAGTTAATAAACTTTATTTTTATGAACTTAAAAAAAAATTGTAATTAATAATTTTGGTATACTTTATTACTACTGCAATCAATCCAATTTTTGTTTAAAGTATTTTTATTTAATTTAATTATGATTGGCAATCATCACAATACTATGCTGGTAGTATTATACCTTTGCGTTTCATATGGTTAGTTGACTCGATGGCGCCGTTGCTAAGCTATTTAGGTTGGATTCCCACACGGGAAAATTATTCGTATGACCCACAGACAATTGCTCCGGATCTGAATGTTTTTTTCTCAAGAAGGGCTGACGTCAAGCTGGCAGCTGGTCGTAAAAACATAGCCAAAACCCCTTACAACATGATTCACATGTTATGCCAACATAGGTGAGATAAGGGCAGGATAATGATGATTATGTTGTGTGATGAATGTTTGTGGTGAACTTTTAAAGCTCAGAGATGTTCATTCTCCGCTAAAAGAGACTGTTTGCCATATCTACCGCGTGTTTACAGAAGATTGTGGGCGACCTTTTAATAAAAAGAAGAAAAATCTTATTTCTGATCATTTATTTATTTTAAAGGAACTAAAGATCTAAGCATTTTTAACAAAATATTTACCACAACTCTGCCCATGTTACCAGTTGTCTTCTATTACCAGTCAGATTTCTACAGGATGGATTTTGGATAGAGTATACAGAGTGTCTTTACAATCGCGACAATAAATGAACACACATATAGAGCATAACTTTTTAAAACTGTATTAAACATTTACATTTTTAAACATCAATATTTACGAAGTTACTAAATTTTCCAAAACAAAGAATTTTAGAATAACCTTACGTATAAAACTGTAACGTAAAGTACATTTTTAACGGTCACAAAGCATATGAATGGGTTGTATGAATTTAAAAGAGACAAAACATACCGTTAGAAGGAGATGCTAGTAATGCGACACTGTGGCAACGAATGAAAAAGTCTCTGAATGTATGAATCAGTCAGTTGTAGTTGTAGAGGATGTTACTAATTTTGTTTCTCTTTACTTAATTACTTTGTTTGAAAAAATATATCTTTTAATTACGGATTTTTTAACGTTAATATTTTTTTATGTTTATGTGCAAGTAGCGTTAGACATGTGTTCATTTATTGTCGCGGTGGTAACGACACGCTGTTTAGTTAACTAGCTAACCCAGCAAACGTTGTTTTGCCATATAAATTAAAAAATGTTTGTGGTGGACCACCCTTAACATTTAGGGGGATGAAAAATATATGTTGTCTGATTCTCTACCCTGGCCGATATGCACACAAAATTTCACAAAAATCGGTCGAGCCGTTTCGGAGCAGTTCAATTACTAAAACTGTGACACGAGAATTTTATATATCAGATTACTTAGTCTGATGCTCTCGCTCCACACTAAGCATGGAAATAATTTATAGATACTTAAAAATTTTTAATTAAACGACACTATCACTGTGAAATGATTATTTTTTGTCTGTATTCTAATGCAAACTCTTAGTACTTAATGATGTAATGGGTAATAGGGAATGTTGTCTTTTATATTTCTCAGAACGAAGTTCGCAATAATTAGTTTTGGTCACATATTTTACTTATTTAATTATATTATCTCATAAATTGTACACAAAAGTTCATTGTATCAACAAGAAGAAATTCTTTTTGATACAATGAACAAGAAGAAAAAAATTACAATAATTTATGCAAATATGTGATATGTTAATCATTAACTGGAATTTGTATGTAAAAATAAACTGACTTACTTGAGAAACTTGAGCACAGAAACCAAAATCAGACAATTTAACCCTGCCATCTGCTGTCAATAGTATGGAATCAGATTTTATGTCTCTATGTATAACTCCTTGACCATGTAAAAATGCTAGCGCCTGAAAAACATAAGTAAAAAATCAAATTTTAAAGGTTTTTTTTTTATATTCCAAAAAGATTCTATCTTCAATAAGGTAGGTCCGCACAACAGTCTTAGCTATTGCACAAATGGGCAAGTCCGTCTGGTGGAGTACCACAACCTCATAACAGACTGCCGTGAAGTGGAAGTGTTATACTTCGGCGTGTCTTTTGGTGAGTGAAGAAGCCCAGGCCACTTCATAAAAAAGTGGCAACACATCTGCAATCTTATACGTGTTGCACATGTCCACCATCCTTGCCACATTGTCACATTACAATGGACATCAAGGTGGTATGATTTCTTTTTGTTAGGTATGCAAAAAATGGAAGTTATTTAGTTTCATGCAAGTGAAATATAAACCCACAACCACAAATTATGAATTAACTCTATCAATGATAATGTTTATAAATGCTTAAGGATAAATATAATTATAATAGACTAGCTGACCCGGTAAACATTGTTTTGCATGAAATTATTTCTAGAGAATTTGTAGGTTAGAAAAAAAATTTTGAGAGTATGAAAAATAGATTACAACCAATTCTCATTCTCCGACCTACTACATAAACTCATTAAAATACACAATAACTTCTCAATATTAGTTTGATAAATGTGTCAATTAGCTTAACATGGTTTGACAAGTAAAAAAGCTCCATGACAAATTTTCCTCTAAAATTCAGAGCCTATATGGCTTGCCTCTTACCCTATTTTTAGAATTTGAATAAAGTTCAGGTGCAATATAGGTGACCTACTTCCGCTCTTAGTGAGAAAAATTATGAATAAAGCTCATACCTTTAGGCACTGCTTACAAACAGTTGCAATTTGCTCTGGGTCCATACGTGAGCGTGTCACTATGTCAGTAAGAGAGCCTCCAGACATATACTCCATTACTACCCACAATTCATTGCCTACTAGGTATGAGGCATGCATTTCCACTATGTTCGCGTGAGGGTAGTCACGCATAATTACCTATGGAGTAAAAAATCAAATTTAAAATCTGAAATATAATTGGATCCACATTGTATTGTTTTATATTGTTTTCTTTACAAATAAGTTGAAAACTGGCAGAACTATAGACATTAAATTAGGTATTTATATTGATGTAAAATAAGTTTAATGCAAACATTACCTCATAAAATTTTTTTAAGAGTTTTTACTAATTTATCAGATTCACTAGTAAAATTTTATGTTTGATCCAGTAAAATACATTTTAAAATTAGCTAACCAAAAATCCTCATCAAGGACCTTCTTGATACTCTTGAAGGTCAAATAATCTATAAATATTTCATAATTTTAGATAGAAAGTCTTAGGAATGATTTTGACTGTGATATTTTTGAATATGAAAGTTATACTAACTTTCATTCCATAATAATAAATAGATAATTTAATTTCAGTGATAGGTTTTTAAATAGCTTACCACTTCATTAAAAAGCAACTCTCTTCTCTGCTGCTTCCTAAGATTCATCATTTTGACTGCAACTCGTCGTCGTGTTCGAGTATCGGTAGCAGAACAAACGACACCTGTGCTACCTTCGCCTATTTTGTTAAAGCCAACAAGTGTTGTCTTAGGATCCCCTTCACTTACAACCAAACGCAGTGCTGCTCGAAACTAGAAGCGAATAAACTCATCTGTAACTGTTAAACTAATTAACAAGTTATGTATGGATAACTTGACAATTTTTTTAATTTTATTACAATCCTACATGTCATAATTGGTAATACAATGTAAACTCTTCATAATGAATTTCAAGGGACCAAGCATTTTTTTTTTTTCACTATAGGGAAGAAGAAAAATAAACAAATTTAACCTTTTACAATAATTTATAATTGTATTACTATCAATAGGTAAACTTAATTTGTTAAGTTTGCCTGACCTGTTTTGCTATGCCAATATTTGTTTTGTATTTTTTAAGTATTTTGTGCATGTCTTGGGATGTGATGGAGTCATCATGGCTGTTTATGACCTCAGGTATCTTTCTTAGAAATTATAGTTGATTATAAAAACAATTACACTGTTAAATATGTTGATGTCTAAATACGAAATATTTCTTCGTAATAGAGAATGGCTGTTGCATTTCAGAGTGAATTAATGAATGTGATAAAAAAATACCAATTGAACTAATTTCTAAGTTATAGAGAGTTTTTCTTTATAACAAATGATTCTATAAAGAATTTACACTGTATATGTCTTTTAGTTCTTGAATAAAATTATTATTGACCAAAATGTCTTACCAGTTTATTCTGTTAAAATTATCAATTTGTAATATTTAAAGTACCTGCTCATGAGTTAAACGCAATTCATGTTTAGAAGCAGCCAGTGGTAAATGTGATGGTGCTCCTGTGGGCACAACATGCTGGTGCCTTGCCATGGAGTATGAATCACCTATAACACAATTATCAAATTTATGTATATAGATTATTTTTATCCAAAGCCATATTGATACAAACATAAAAGCTCAAATAAAATTTCATTAAGTTATTACCACACCTCAAAATATAACTGACTTACCCATATTAACACTGTTTCCATTGAGCCCTTGCATAGAATGTTGAATTGTCTGTGCTTGAGGTGGATGGTTATGTTGGTATGGTACATTAGCATTCTGTATGTTTTGGTATGTTATTGTTTGTTGAGTATCATTTGGCTCTGATAATGGTCTTACAGTAGCATCATGTGCTGCCTGTGACCACTCAACTGGTGATTCTGGTATGGATTTTTTCAATGCAAAATTACTTTGCTCACGTCTTAAGCTAGGGTATTGCTGTGGAGCAGGAGGCACTGGAGGTGATTCTTCAGGGACTGCCGGTGGAATATTAGCTTGATTGCGCAAGTCTCTTCTGATATGAGGAGGACTTGTGCTTCTTAGAGAATTTGATCTAGCCACATTTGATGTTTTAGGTAAGACCACTCCATTTTGTACTGTTTGTGTAGTGAGAACTGTGGGATTTGTAGATGGAGGCCGAGTCATAGATGCAACAGATGCAGACCTGTGTTCACCTCTCACTATTGTCTTTAAGTCTAAGATTTCAGTGGGAGTTATTTCTGATGGATCTACTAATGGAAGAGGTCTGTTTGTTGATTTAAATATCTGAAATGAAAAATTTCCATGATTATCATTGAATTATGTATTGAATTTCAAGTATGGGAAAATATTACAAAATTACAATTAGTGCATGAGGCCCACAACACTAATCAGAATAACAAAATTCCATATTTCATTACAATTCTTAGTGAAAATTTATTTAAAATATCTTCCCATTTTTCACTTGTTTACCCAGACTGAAATAGATTCTTACCTGATTGTTACCAACAAGAGAAGCCCATTGCAATGGGAGTCCTACATATTTGCCCTCCCTTTTATCAAAACCAGTATGCACTCTGTGTTCAAAATTGCTTGGTGGTGAAATAAGGGGCTTCTTTTTCTTCTTTGAAAACATTTTTTCAAATTAAAATAAGCTGAAAGTACGACAAATTAAGTACCTTAACCTTTTTACCTACTAACGTAAATTTTAAGAAAAAAAAATTGTAAATAGTATAATATAAATAAGATAACCAACAATAATTTTTAAATAATGAGACATATTTTACAGGATTATAAATGACAACATAATTAGTCACTCCTATACCGTAAGTTAAGTGCTTAAGTCGCAAATCACGCACGAGATTCACAAGTTAAGAAGAAAGTTTTAAATCGTACACAGTTTTCTCTAAAAACCATCACTGACTTATATACGGCGTATAGCGTTCACTACTTAAATAAACAAAGATTATACATACATTTAATATAAGATGATTTTGACAGATCTTAGAATAATAAATAGCTCACAAATAATTTAATATTTCTACGGGATTCTCAGCAGCCATGCCTAAATCCACAAATTTAATAAACGTAATGATGTTAGAACAGTACTTCACTTTAGAAAACGAAAAGGAATTTCACTTTGACCAATAAAATGACCAATAAAAATAGTTATCGCTCTTGAAAATTAATTAAGCAGAACTCTTTTACGTTTAAATTATCTTCAAATTCATCACCACTACCAAATAATGCACTTGCCTTGCAATGCAGGGACAAGACACATATTTATAGTTGTGTTGATTTGTTAAAAATTGCTAGACTAGGGATGTTGTATTGTATGGATTATGAATAATTGGATGGATACAGACTGTACTTGACTGTAGAATGACGTATAATGTGTGTAAGTAGGTATATTCTGTGCTGAATCAAAATCACAGAACACTTTTGAAAAACTGATGTTTTTGCTTTCAGTCCCGAGACTATTAAAGCTTCATCTTATGCAGAACCGGTGGGCTGGCCAGAACCCACGGGCTTGGACTCTCCGTTGTGGATAGGGCCACGCATGCGCTCATGCGTGCGTTTATTTACGGTGTGTCATCGAGGTCGCGGTTCGGACCGAAACCCCGATGGCCGTTGACTGTGCAATTAGCTAATCGGTGGCTGGGAACAGTGAGAACCACCCCGGAACGCGGGTGTACCTTGTGTACGCGTTGTGTTGGTCTCGCCGTGATCGGAGGCGAGGGCGACCTAGTGTATTTGTTGTTGTACTAACTGTGGGTGTAGTATTATCCGGTGGCACCCCCGGCGGTGGGTCCGACGTATCTAAGTCCCCTTCCTCGACCGGGTCGATGAGGACGTTTCGCGGGTGACGCTTGTTAACGTTCGCGTTTGTGTCGGGTAGGTAATTTGCTGCGCTTACCACCAGAGGGTTGGGATGATATTCGGCTCTATCGAAGAACCGTTTGGTCAGGTCTTTAAAATATTCGCGAATCGCCGGGAGTCTGCAATCGCTATGCAGGTCGACGTTGCGTTGATACCACTGTGTACCGCTTGTGCGGCGGATGAACTTATTTTGTAATATTTGCAACTTGTACAAGCTAGTAGGGTGCGTGAGGGCGAAGGTCATACATGCGTAGGACATAATAGGTCGTACACAGGTCTTATATAATAATAATTTGTGCCTTAAGGGCATTTTACTTTTAGCGTTAGTTAAATTGTGTAGCCGGCCGGAGACAAACGCGGCTCTATTGCGAACGTTATTAATGTGCGTAGTAAATTACATACGCGAGTCGAAAGTGACTCCTAAGTATTTGACCTTTTTCTCCCAGAGGAGCGTTTGGCCATAAAGGGATATTTGCCCCAACTTTCTGCATTGGCGAGGGCCATTATAAAGATGTGACGGGTAAGTACTTCGTGTGAAGTGAATCGCCACACTCTTTTCGAGATTCACTTCTATTCTCCATTTGCGGAACCAATCACCGAGGCGGTCGGCGGCACTTTGGAGTCATTTCCAAACATCCTTGTCCTCAATGTATTCTTGCATATTATAATAGGCCCTTGCCATTAAGGTAACTTTTACAAATTGTTTGAAATTGTTTATACTTAGTTGTTTGTGGATGTCACCTATTTTATTATAAAAGTTGATGCATCTTCCAAGAAATGACTTTCTGGTTTTAGCCAATCTAAACCTCGGTACTTCCAGAGTATCATCACGGCCCCGACGCGATGTGGATTGTTTTTTCGTAAATAGGTGGATATGTTTACATACATACATGACGTTCTCAAGTATGTAAGGCGACAGGAGCGTCAAAACGTTTATTTGCTTAAATATATGCCGTAGTGACTCACGTGGACCCAAGCCATAGACGGCCCGTATAGCCTGCTTTTGTAATACAAATATTGTGTCTAAACCGGATTTTAATAATGTTTCGGGGGTCACTGAACTCAAAGGATCGCCTTCCGGTGGAAGCGCAGCCCTAATCTCGATTACGCGGTCCACCTCCGTTCGGTGGGCTGTATCGTTGTGCTCGCGCGATGGCGTACATTACTGCTCTAGGTTGTCCGCAAGGCATTCGGCTTTTTCGGAGTCATCTAGGGCTGCTGAAGCGCTATTATGTCTAACTAACGACGGTAGAGAATCGCGGGTTTCTGCTTTCAAACTGCGGGCCAACCGCCAGTAGGCGGTATGCGATGGCTCGATGTCCTCTAGGAGGGTATTCCACGTGGTATGTCGGTGTTCCGATACACGTTCTTTGACTTCTAGCTGAAGGCGTCGAAGTAGGGTTCGGTTCGATTCCGATCGGTATCGGTCGAAAGCGCGTTTGGCTGCATTTTTCTGTCTAATTAGTAGTCGCAGGTCGGGCGGAAAGTTAAACCGTGGGTCGCCCGAAAGTTTCACCGTCCGTTCTGCAACTGCGGAAGTGATAATTTCTCGGAGACTTGCTATCGCTCGATCATCGAACGTAGCTATCGTCTCGGGTAGGTTTACTATGTCCTGGGGGTCTAAGGCATTGAGTTTGACCTCAAGACGATGTCAGCCCGCTACGGATTTGGTCGGAGGGACCGCACCAGCGTTCTAGCCCTGTTTACACAGGACGGGCCTGTGATCGGAATCTAGTTCATGGCTTGTCTCTATCGACTCGATGTCGAGCGAGACCTTCTTGAATAACATAATGTCTAGAATACTCGGTGTCGCGTGTTGTTGTCCACCGTGGGATATCTAGTGGGGGTCGCAGAAGCGACTATGCTAGAATTAAAGTTATCGGATAAGCTAAAGAGATGCTTTCCGTTATTATTAGGGATGCTGTGGGTGTCCCATGAGCCGTGTTTGCAGTTTAGATCGCGTGAAATTATTACGGAAGGGCCTAAGTTGAGAAGCGTATCTAGATCGCTTTGTAATAAGGTTTTGTTCCCCGAAAGGTAGGCTGAGACTAGTACAAGGGGCCTATGGCCAGTGAGCACTAACCTACACGCGGATGCTTCTATATGGCTTAGCTCTGGAATATCGAGAGGGCTACAGTGCAAGGACCGTTTGTAATAAATTAAGGTGCGTCCCAGACGGTTTGCTAACGGTTGTGGCGGACTATGTTGTGGTTTGCGTTTCTGGGAAAATATCTACATTATAATCGCGAGGGAATTCTGCAATTTCGTCCCTTTGACCCTTAAGGCCGTTTGCGTTGAAATACAAAACAACCAGAGCCTGAGGTTTTGTTCTGCCTGTGGTTGTACTTTCCATAAAAGTTTTTTATGTTTCTAACTAACGACGCGGCGGAACGCGGTTTTATTGCGTTTATGGTTGGCTTGTAAACACCCAGAGGGCGTCTACAAGCGTTTTATGTTCTCTAATGGCGTTGAGGCGCTAGGGGCCAGATGTGGCGGTCGATATTTTTGCGGACAATACGGCAAGCTCTTGTCTGTTTATGCGGTCTAATAAACAGCAGATGTTCGCTATTTAGGTGAACGGATCGTTATTGTTTCCGGTGATTACCGGTGTTGTTAACTGCACCTGTGGCCTCGGCGCCTGTTGAATAGCGGGCTACGATTGGTTTAACGTTGGTCGTGAGGCGACCAACGTAGGGGCGCGACTACCTGCGCGGCCACCTGAGGTTTCGCCCAGGCGTTTACGACTGGTACGGGCGCAGGAACGTATTTCACGGGCGCGGATTTGGGCAATGTTGATTTCGCGGGAGTTTTTCTCGCGGTAGTCTTAGCGCAGCCTCTGTAACTAGCCGGGTGACCGGTGGCGTGGCAGTTTACGCCGGTGGATCTGCGCAATCTTTTGGCCGCGTGCACTCGGGCGTGCCGTGGTCACCGGTGCATTTGACGCACCTAGGGTGAGCGAAGCAATTATTGGCCGTGTGGCCGTAGTGTTGGCAGTTGTGGCACTGTGCCACAGCGCCTGATTTGCGCGGGGGCTCGAAGACTAAGTCACTAAGCCCACAGACCGTCTTCGGGTTGAAGATGGCCTTACGTTCCGGGGTAGAGTCAAGTTCAACCATGACCATGTCTATAGGGACATGTGGTCTAGGGTGCCTGAGTCGTCGCACTGTACGTACGGGGTGTCCCTGAGTGCGGATGTCGACCTTGGCCTTATCGACATCCGACTGTTTGCCAACGCCCTTTATTACTATCCGAAGTTTTCGTTCTTCGGGCAACGAGTAGGTATGGAAACTTACCTTATTTTTGCATAAGTACTTAGTTACGCGGCGGAAGTCGTGCGTTGTGTCGAGGTATACGCGGGTACCCATATTTGTATTTTTCAACCGGGGGTCGCGGATGTTGTGGCATTCGAACCACGAGCATATTTGATGCCACTTTGCCTTCTCTTGTATTATTATCGGAGGCGGTGGATTAATTTTTCGCTCGGCGGCGAATTCGGGTACCGGTTGGGCAACCGCGGCCGCCGTTTTGGCGGGCGTCGCGGTGGGACGGTTAGTTAAGGCGGCCTCGCATTCGGAGTCGCTGTCGGTGGCGGGGCGTTTTTTGGCCTTCTTTCGCGATTTAACGACGGTGAAGCCGTCGTGGTTCGCATTGTCTACGGGGGTCGTTTCGAACTCCTTGTCCGATCCGCCGTCCGATTGTGAGTCGGGAACGAACGCGGAAGCGGGCCGAGGTGGGATGCACGGAAAGCGAGACGGGTACGATCGCGGCGGCAGAGGTCGACACTACGGGCATTTCTTGTGTCGCTGAGGGCGACGTATTAGCGGGTGCAGAGGGCACCGGGGATGGCGTGGAGGTGACTGCCGGCGAAGCCGGGCTGTCGCTGGCGAACTCAACGACTAAACATTGTTCTTTCGCGAATGCGGGAAAGTTTGCCCACACTTCGGGACATCGTTGGCGAAGGAGGAACCCCATTCTTCCATCCTCTAGGAGGGAACCCATTTCGAGCGCTTGAGCCTTTGGGGCTTGCGCTCCGCCGGTGTGTAATTTACTAAATAGGCCTCCCCACCTTGCTGCAGGGAAGTGTGTGCCTAAAATTAATAAATAATTCGCCTGCGCTTTAGGTGCGCTAGGGTGGGTACCTAGATGTTGCCTATCGCAACAAGCACACAGTTATTAAATAAAAAAATGCCGCCTCAGGCGAAGAAGTGTGTATAGAATTCTACTTTCAGAACAGGAACCTGCCTACGAGCACAACACTAACAGTAAACTACTGCACTGCTTGCACAAAGATTTAAATTGCAACCGAAGTTGCGAGTAGCGTCTAATTCGGGTGGCATGAGCCCTCTGTCTTAGAGAGAGGTCCGTTCCGTACGAAGCGGAAAGACTTTTCAAAGAGTTTCATTTTGTTTCCAAGAGTTACATGTTAAAGATTTTTTTTTTTTTTGGATTTTATGGCCCGGTATCAAGGACCTTTTTGTTAAAGTGTTACAAGACAAGAGCGAGAACAGATACCAGATACAGAATACGAATCATCGGCAAGAACAGTTTACATAGTATCGTCTTGAAAACCTAAAAAATTCCCACAAACGGCAGTATAAATAAGAATTAATTTCATCGTGGCGTTGCGAATTCCACCTTAACTTACAAACGACTTGTAAATATTAGATCAATAAACGGTATGATGTTGAAATCATATGAAAAAAAATCTTCTTTCCGAAATTCTGCAATCGAAAGATTGAATAATTTTAATTGCTTATACTATTAAGATATATTTAATATCTTAAATTATTAAGACTAGATCTGAACGGTCGCTGAGGGGTGTCTAAAGTTTTCTCGCCACTGAACCAGAGGCTAGATCTCATGGCAGTCCCCAAAGTGTTCACGTAAGCACTACCCTAATAGGACCTATTATTATCTACGAGCTTCAGTTTATCAGTTGGTAACCAAAGAGAATATAATTACCAAATTTCGGAAATTTCTCCCCATATGGAGTACTGTTGTCATCTCTGGGGCGCAGCCCCCCATTACCAGCCTATCCCATTTCCCCGCAACGTAGGGCGGCTCGGGGTTTTCAACGATCATAGTCCTACCGATCGGCTTGATTCTTTGGCTCTGCGAAAGATGTTGGATCACTCCGATCTTTAACGATATTTAACAGCATATAATATCACGGGCAGTGTTCCGAGGAATTGTTTGGATTGATTCCGGCGGATGAATTTCATCATCAGACATCGCTGAAAAACCAAAAATCATCAATCAATCATTCATCCACACCACCTCAATGTCCAGCGTTCCACAACAGCGCGATTCACATCCGGGTGTCCCTTGACACCTCTCAATGTTTTTTTGCTATGGGCTACTAGCACCATTGTCTTCCAACCTTAGGAAGTCTCATATTTTTTTCTTATAAGAAATAAATATTCCATTTGGTATTAAGCAATATGTTTTCAAGGCATCTCCTGCTTCGCACAACCACTCTGTGGAACCACCTGCTACGGCTAGTCATTCCGAACCGTTACAACCTGGGAACCTTCAAGAAGAGAGCAAATTTCCTAAAAGCCCGACAACGCATTCCTAAATCTTCTGGTGTTGCAGGTGTTCATGGGCGGCGATGAACACTTATTATCACGTGAGCCTCTGCCCCCATTTCTACATAAAAAAATAATAATAAAAAATAACCACTAAGCTTACGTTGGTAACATTGAAACTTAATGTCAATACCAATTATCATTATTATTTATTATCATATTTTATCAATCTGAAAATTCTGATTAGTTCATGCGTTAAAAAGGTTGAGGTAATTGTTTTTAAGAATGAAAGAAAAGCGTGCAAAGAAAAAGAAACATCGCAAGAAGGATAACAAGAAAGAAAAGGTCAGTAAGATAGCAAAGCGTTACATTATATTTTCTTTTTGATCCAACAAATTTCATGTGGCATCTAATAATTCGAAAATAAATTTAGTATTCAGACTCTTCAAGCAGTTCGCCAGAAACGGATGAATGGGTAGAAAAGAAAAACAAAGTTACTAAAACTGACACAGACCGAGATGAATGGATGGCAATGACTGGTAAGCTTAAAACTTACACAAAGGATGACTTAAAAGTTAGTAATAAAGATAAGAATAAACAACATATTGATTCATATAATCCCTCAACAAGCAGTAGAGAGCTTAATCCATATTGGAAAGATGGAGGAGTAGGTCTACCTAAATCATATGAGTGCCATAGAAAATCAAGAGAATTTATCAGACCATCGGATGAAGACAATTTTTATCAAAAATCATATATAAGTCAGAAAAAAAGTTCAAAATCCTCTCATTATATACATATTGAAACCAAAGGAAATGCTGATGATAGATCAAAGAAATCTTATAATTGGCGGAAAGAAAGTATCAGTGACGAAAAGGAAGAAAAAGTGAAGAACCAAAATAAACAGGGTTTTGAAGTAAATCAAAATCAAAGTTCTTCTACGTCTAAAACTGAAACAAATGATTCAGTGTATCTAAGTGATGAAAAGATGAACAAATTAGCTGCAAAAATTGTTAAAGCAGAAATACTAGGTGATACAAACTTGGTAAATAAACTAAAGCAGAAATTAGATGCTGCAAGGGAGTTCAGAAAACAGAATCCTGCAGCTTGTAATAAAGATATTGAGGATGGAATTATGTTAATGACTACAACAAGTTCAGGGAATAGTAGACCTTTATTAAAAACAGAATCATTGAATATAGGGGATCCCAGGAGCAAAAGTGGCAAGAGGAAAGCTGAAACATATAATTCTAATAACAGGGTTAAGTACTTTGCAAATGATGATAAGTATAATTTGTCACAAATGGTGAGTAAACAACAATATTAAAAAATATGAAGTTTTATAGTGCTTATCACCTGCTTGGCGGTAACAGAAAACTTTGTGAGGAAATCTGCATATTTTCGAATTAGCAAAAAAAAGTATGTTTCGAAAATATGTGAAGTCTGCCAATACGCATTGGGGTTGCATAATGGACTATGCCCTGATACCCTCTTTAGAGAGGAGGCCTTTGCTCTTATACCCTCTTTAGAGAGGAGGCCTTTGCCCAGCAGCGGGACTTATAAATGCCATTAATTTACTTTCTTTTTTTATAGTGCTCAATTATTTTTAGACAAACTATATACTATTGTAATAATTTTTTTTATGATACTAATAAAAATTGTATTTTATTTCAGTTTGAACAAGAAAAGTATGGTACAAACTATGACCAAGATGCAGAATTAGCAGCAATTGCGGCAAAGCATAAAAATCCAAATGATGAACTTGAAGATATCTTTGTAGATGAAATATCTAAGAATAAAAATTTGGATAAAGAAAGTGAAAGGGAAAAGCAGTATGCAATCAATCAGAGCATGAAACTAGAAATGTCTTTAGATGGTTGTGAATATTGTATTGATTCTAAAAATATGTTGAAACATCTTATAGTGAGCTATGGTAATAAAGTTTACATGGCACTACCAGCAAAGAAGTCTCTTGTTCAAGGACATTGTGTCATAACAACACTTCAACATTCTACATGTGTTACCTCCTTGGATGAAGATGTTTGGGAAGAAATATTGGTATGCATTTATACAGTGCCTACTAGTAATTTTATTTAATAACAACACTTGATATTTTTGCTATACCAGATATAAATTTAGACCTCAGTCAAGTAAATGAATAACATGCAGATGTATGTAGAAAATTTTAAGCCATTAATGTTTTCATGTCTATAATTCTTTGTATTGAGTAACATATTCATTATTCTAAAGGTAACAAAAAAAATTTTAAACATTTTATTTTCAGAACTATCGTAAGATTATCACACAATTTTTCAATACACAAAATAAAGATGTAGTATTTTATGAAACTGCTACAAAGTTGCACAGATACCCTCACATGGTAATTAACTGCGTACCATTACCAAGAGATGTTGGTGACATGGCATCCATTTACTTCAAAAAAGCACTTCTTGAATGTGAAGCTGAATGGTCTATGAATAAAAAAGTTGTTGACTTGAGTGGTAAAAATATCAGAAAAGGTGTTCCAAAAGGTTTGCCATACTTTTGGATTGATTTTGGAATGGATCCAGGTTTTGCACATGTCATAGAAGACCAACAATTATTTCCAAAAACATTTGCAGAGGTAAGGATCTGATGTGTTAAAAAAAATTCTAAAGACATTTATTTATGTTTGTGTGAAAAATATATTTAATTCATTTAATATATCATTTTTTTGGAAAATTATATATTATTACCATTGAAAACTTACTGCAATTCTTTTTATTTAATTAAATCCTGTGATGAAAAAATAATGCTTTTAACTGTTACCAAAAAAAATTACAGGAAATTATTGCTGGAATATTAGATTTAAATCACACCCTATGGAAAAACCCACAAAGAGAATATGGAGATGTGCAGAGAAAAAAGGTTTTGGAATTCATGAAAGAATGGAAGCCTTTTGAAGAAGTTATGAAGAATAAAGCATAGCGAAATTAATAGTAATGTCTTATTTTTTGCATTTAAGTTTAATAAATTAATCATAAGATTTGTAGTATTTTTGTGTGAAATAATATAGCACACTACACAATTTGATACACATCTGACCATGTCATGCATTTCCAATTTTTGCAAAAACATTGTGTAATTCTATCTGTACACAGAACTTTAATTGCTGCTAAGAATTATAAGATCATAACAGACTTTGGACTCAGGTTGGCCGAAGCAAGGAAAATATGTCCAGGTGGGGACTTTCAGAAAACTCAGACCTGGACTGTATATGTGAAGTAGTGATGCACAACCATCGATAGTTTGACTATCGATAGTTGACCTCAGGATATCAAACTAAAAACTATTCAGGATATCAATTGTACTATCGACTACCGATAGTATTGATAGCTCTCCAACTGCCAATACTATTGATAGTAATGCATGCGATAGTATCGATGGTATCAATAGTATTGCAATTGCCATTAGTTTTTGACAAAAATTATCGATACTATTGATAGCCTCAATAGGTTTGTACTATCGATAGCCAGTAAAAGGCTATTTGTAGTACAAAATCATAAGTAAAGTAACTATTATATTTATAGTACTAAAGTATTATATACTGATAAAGTAAATTACGTTTTGAGACAAATATCAGATGATAACTCTCAGTCAACTATTCATTTATTATTTATAAAATATATTAACACATTGAAAACTGTTGAAGGTTTGATGTGCATTATGGGTGCCAGCGACCCAGAGCAAACAAAGGGATTATTGGAACGAAGTTCCTTATCGCGCGTTGTGAAAGACGGAAAAAATTCTCACGAAAAGTTGTAACGACACTTTTTGCTATAGTAAGCTATTGTAAGCTGTGCGGCGTGCGCATGTTTCTCTGTCTGTTGTTTGTCTGTCAGACAGACAAACATGACAGTTTCTAGAGGAAGAATTTGATTTAAGAATTAACAATAATCCAGCAAAATCAACAACAAAATATTATACTACCATTGATGCAGTTTTTGCAAGACATTTAAATAAAATAGAATCCCAAACATGTTTCCTACTTCAGTTACCACAAGCCAATTATTACTAAAATTGAGCCTACTGATTAAGTTTATATTACATTATATTTGTTAACAATAAACAAAATATTATTATAAATTAAAAAAAAAAAAAATTTATTACAATTCCTACACTAATTAATCGAAAGGAACTTCGTTCCATCCGGGTGTCCCTTGACACCTCTCAATGTTTTTTTTGCTATGGGCTACTAGCACCGTTGTCTTCCAACCTTAGGAAGTCTCATATTCTTTACTTATAGAAAGAAATAAATATTCCATTTGGTATTAAGCAATATGTGAGAAACGGTTTTAACGGTGGTAGGGCCACGCAGCAGCCTCGGCTGTTGCACGAATGGGCAGGATCATCCGGGTGAGTACCACGACCTCACAGGAGAGCAGCGTAAAGTGGAAGTATAATACTTTCGCGTTTCGTCTGGTGAGTGAGGTTGCTGGAGCCCAATTTTCAAAAGGTTGTCAACACATCTGGAACCCTCTAGTGTAGCAGATGTCTATGGGCGGCGGTATTCACTTAACATCAGGTGAACCGTTTGCTCGCTTGGCAATAATATTTTTATAATTAACAACAGGACCGGATTTAGGGGAGGGCAACCGGGGCAACCGCCCCGGGCCACCACAAACGAGGGGCCCCCACAATAGACTTCAGAAAAAAAATTCAAATTCAGACTAATAAACACTAGTAAACAACTTTACCTTGCATATTTTTTTTTCGCGTTTTTCTTTTACCTACAGTACTTTGTACAAACATGATTAAATTAAATATTAACAGAAATCAATATAAAATAATTTGAGGGCAAGTGGCCTCCACTCCTTTGAGGCCCTGATTAAGAAGACAATAAATATATTTAAATTCATGAACAAATTTTCCTACATAGCATAGTCGATTTCAGCTACACTACTGCTTGTTTAAAATTCTGTAGTTTTTTATATATATATATAATTAAATTATAATATAAATTCCATATAAAATATATCACAAATTGTGAAAAAGAAAAGAATAAAATACACAAAGTAATTTATATTAAAATCATTATCCTTGATCTTCTTTCATCATTTCATCTATTAATTTCTGTCTTTCTGCTGCCTGTCTCAATTTAGTTAAAACAATTGATTCATAGTCTCTTTCCGATATTAATGATGGTCCACTTTGTTTGTTTTCTGCTGTTAAAATGGGTTTTTTATTTAACCATTTTAAGGTTAATGGATTTTCTGGCAAACCTGAAATGAATACTTACAAATGTAGAACAATAGCAACAACATTCTATTAAGCTATTCAGTGTGATATGATCAAGACATGCAAATGTGCATGATATAAATACTAGGAACAAACATAAATTAATTCTACCCACAACTAGACTTTGTAGAATAACTAATTCTTTATGGGTCAATTTTTACAACAAAATCCCAGAACATTCACAATGTATCAATTTCTAAATTCCAAAAAATTATAAAGGATTGTTTGTGTATTAAAGTATTATAATATTAGTAATTATTTACTTTTCTTTCCGAAACAATGGTAGTGTCTTGACAATCAATAAGTAAGTGTAATGCTTCTATATTGAATAAAGGTATTTGATTTGATGTTATTTGATATGTTTGAAAATAATAAAATGTGTGTCATATTTTGATTGGGAAATCATACTTTAATTATTAAACTATGCTTCATATTTATAGGAATGTAGTTTCCACCATCAAATTTCATTGAACTACAAATTTTTAGAGTTCCATACCCAAAGGGTAAAATGGGACCCTTTTACTAAGACTACATTGTCTATCTATCTGTCACCAGGCTGTATCTCATGAAGTGTGATAATTAGACAGTTGAAATTTTCACAGATGAAGTATTTTTTTTGCTGCTATAAAATCAAATACTATAAAAAGGAACAAAAAAATATTCAAGTGGGCTCCCATACAATACACGTGATTTTTTTGTTTTTATAGATAATAATGAGGAACCCTTCATGAGCAAGTCCAATTCGCACTGGGCTGGTTTTTTTCAACTAATAATGTTATGTAACTTATATAGGATTTTCCACTATATTAAAATTAAATTTGACATTTTATACAATTCAAATCACAATTTACCTTTTTCAAACTCAACGGCCATTTCTGATGCTTGCTTTGTTGAATATTCTACTAATGCACTCCCTCTTTTCTTGGGTGATATAATTAGAGCCATTATATCGCCATACTTTTTTAAACATCTTCTTAAAATTGATTCATTATAACCACCATTATTTGGGTCATTCTTTTCTGCCTTCCACTTAATCTTTATTCTGTTCAAGCAAGGATCCCAATAAGTTTCATCCAACCTCCGACTTTTCTGGATTTCCTCTCTAACTTTTTGTTGTTCTTCTTGAAGTAGACGGCTGCCTTCTCTTTGCAATCTTTGTATCTCGGCAGCAAGTTTTTGCTCGTCAGTGAGGCTGGATTCCTTCCCGGAAGCAGCTTCCCGTTCACGTCTTTCTAGATCTTCTTTTAATTTTTGACGTTTACTATCTAATTCCTTATGGCGTAGTTTAGCAGCAGCTTTTGCTCTCAAAACTTTATCATACGCAGCCCGAGCCGATACGTCTGTCAGTATCTCGAGAGCCCTTGACAATTCATGGAATGTTTCTGCTGCTTTTGGATCGTCTGGATTTTTATCGGGGTGACACTGAAGTGCTTTCTTACGATAAGCTTTTTTAATCTAAAAGAACCCAAGATAAACATAAGTTTTAAAAGTAAACAAAGTTTGAGTACTTCAATTAACATGTCCGTGTTAATAAAACATATACTTCTGATTCTGTTGCTATTATTTCTATATCCAAAATAGCGTATAAATCTAAATCGTCAATATGTTTATTGGCCATTATTGTATTATTTTGTCCTTATATTTAATATAAATAAATTTTATTAAGAATAGTTACTTATAGAATGAAAACTGAACTACAAATCACTTTTTTTTTGATTTGATGACACTTTTTATTTTTTTTTTATTTTAATTTGGCATCACGCGGTTTGCGCATATGCCACTGACAAAAGCAGGGAAACGTTTATCACGATTTAAAAGTACATTACTCACGGAATTGGAAAAGGATCAGATAGGATTACTATGATAGGATAGGTATAAGGATTTTTTAATTTCAAATGATTATTTAACAGGAAAATAGAAAAAGCTGTATATATATCAGAATTAGAACATGAAAGAGATTTGATAGAAGTAGGAAATGGTACACGGATGGAAACGAGATGATTATAAAAGGAAAAACGTCATTCAAAGGGCAGATAAAGAAAATATGATTAAGATCACCCACATCCCCACAAGCACACAAATCTGAATCAATTTTATTAAGCCTGGCCAAATGTACAGGTGTGCACACATGACCTAATCTCATTCGAATAATTGATGAAGTAACTTGTTTACCAAACCTCAGAGTTGAAAACCATGGCTTATTAGGAATATTAGGTTCTAAAGATTTAAAAAAAATTCCCTTGATCCTCCCGCTAGTTTCCCAAGCTTTATTCCAAGTTTCCTTAAGATAGAGCCTAGGCAGCGTAGTCAAATCATGGCAGTAATTAATGTAAGGATGAATGTCACCGCACACCACAGCCTCATTAGCCAGACGATCAGCTAAAACATTACCAACAATACCCACGTGCCCTGGAATCCAGACAAACATCACGACATATCCTCTTAAAACACAATTATGTAAAGCAGTTCTAATATTAAATATTACAGGATACATGGGTTTAGATTGGAAGGCATATCTTTGCATCGCCATTAAAGCGCTTTTATAATCAGATAATATAAGGGTTTTTCCTAACTTCATTAACAAAATGTATTCTAATGCTCTGAGGATACCAAAACATTCCCCTGTAAAAACAGATGTTTCAGGAGGAAACTTAATTTTTTGAACTATATTAAATTGTTTGTGATAAACACCAATTCCAACATGAGAATTATGTTTCGAAGCATCAGTGTAAATGTGATGCCAATCTTCGAAATGATTGTGTATCATAGAATTATATTCATAATTAGCACTAACGATATTTCTGTTGATGCCCAAGTTTAAACAAACATTAGGTGAGATAATCAAACTTTCAAAACTACAGGAGAACAAAGGAAGTGAAGGATAACGATAAACAGGAGATTGAATAGACATAAATTTTCGAAAACTAATTATTAAACAGGGTAAAGACTTATGTCTCCAATAAGCGGAGGTGCTAACTATTTCTGACAATAATTTGAGTTTATTAAAAAGTGGATGATTAGAGTTCTGTACAAAGCGGAAGAAGAATTTGTCTGCTAGATATTGTCACTTCTTCATTGGCTACATATGACATATCTGTGAGGTATTTTACATAAATGTCAATGTAGGGATGCCGAAAATAAAAAAAAATATAGATCCGATATCGGCCTCGATATATCGAAAACAAATCGATATATCGGTCAAATTTTCGGTTTTCAAAAATAATCAGTTTCTTAAGCTCTAAATCAATGAAAAAATAACTAATAAAAAACATGTAACTTCTTCTCAAAATTCGTTACTGTCTGTACCCTCTCGTCACTCCGGTTTCATGTCAAATTCTTTCACTGTCAGGTATATTTTTTATGTAATTCAGGTATAATTTTTGGATATATTTTTTAAAAAATATCGATATATCGATTTTTTTTTTCGGCATCCCTATGGCAAAGTGTCAAAATTGAAAATAATATAACCTTTCTTGAGATGTATTTTTCTTTGCAGGGTTAGTCGTAAATGTATATAAAAATAATAATATCTAGTAAATCTACAATATTGATTACGTATTAACATTTCAGATTGTAGGGTTTTTATTACTAATATTAAACAAAAGCAGCCATGTTTCCTCGTTTTTTAAGTAAGTTCAATATTATTTGAAGTTAGATATAATATAATTATTTTTATAAGGGTTTCATTTTTTCATTTAGGTCAGTCAATAAGAAATAGTGGTTTATGTTTACGAAGTAATTCGACTGTAACACAACAAATACCCCAAAAAGCCACCGAAATCACTGAGATTGAGGGTACGTATAATTGCTAATAACTTATATTATTAATTGCTTAACTAGGACGTTTAAATTTTGAATTTTTTTTTTTTTTGATTTTGAATACCCAATTTGAACAATTAATTTTAGCACAAACTTCTGTTAATATAAATTGCTAAATTTTGAATACCCAATTTAAACAAATAATTTTAGCAAAAACTTCAATGTTAATATTATTTGGGTTTTTTTTACATGAGCTGGGGTGTTTTTCGGTGGATGTTCTTAGTGAAAATATTTTTAATATTTTTTTCTTGAATACTATAAGCGACCCGAGAATTCTACTTGTTGATTATTTCATGAGTGGTTTTTTACTACTGCATAAAAATTTTTGTTAGGTGAAAAAACAAACCTGGCACTAATTGAAAAAAAATATGTGAATTTTTGTAACATGTTTATTATTTTTATATCAGTCATACTGACTAGTGTAATAAAATATTATAACCAATATTGTCCCTAGTGTATATTTATACTATGTTTTAATTTTTTTGTAGATAGAATTTAAAAATTAAGAGACTTACCCCCGTTTTCACAGTAGTGAAGTGTCGTATAAATGGGCATAAGTTACCTATACATAATCACATTTAAAAAAAATTGTTAACAAAATTATAACTGCACATGTTTGATATTTCAGATAACATAACCAAAAAAAATAATCCCTTAGATCATCCAGACTATTTCCAAGTGCACAATTTATTTACTGTAAAGGATCTATTTGATGCAAAGGTGCACTATGGACATAAAGAAGGATCTTTAAATGAGTTTATGGCCCACTATCTCTATGGCTCAAGACAGGGACATCTTATATTTGATTTGGACATAACAGCAGATTATTTGCGTAAGGCCTTGAATTTTACTGCCCACGTAGCATATAGAGGGGGAATAATTTGTTTTTTTAATAGAAATGCATTAAATGCACATCTGGTTGAGAAAACTGCTCAGGAATGTGGTGAATACGCTCATACACGATTCTGGCGTGGTGGGATCTTTACCAATGCTAATCATCAATTTGGTGCCATAACAAGACTTCCTGATCTGTGTATATTTTTAAATACACAGAATAATATTCTAAATCAACATACAGCAGTCAGAGATAGCGCTAAAATGTTAATACCCACTATAGGAATTGTTGATAGCAATTGTAATCCTAATTTAATCACATACCCAGTTCCTGGCAATGATGATACTCCATCTGCTATTAAACTATATTGTAAATTATTTAAAGCTGCAATTCTAAGAGGAAAAGAAGAGAGGATGAAATTTCTTCAAGAGAGTGAATAAAGTGATTTGAAGTTCTTTCAAGGTACATTTTTATATAAATTATGTTATAAATACCTCTAATTAACATATTGATTCCTTAAATTAGCAATAATAGACTTTACATATAACAATAATGCTTTTTATTTAACATGATACATATTCAACTGTTAATATGATTAAATTGGTAATCATTACAGAATATACACATTGTAACCAATACAAATTTAATAGATACATTATTCTATTAAATATATACAAAACAATCAACCTAGTAGAACTTTCCGCATCATTTGAGTATTAGTATTGTTGTCTACTTCTCGACTCTCCCAGCTCCCAGTGATGCATTTTGAGCTGCACAAGTATTGAAGTAAAGGAATGCGATATTTGCCACAAAAATCGACAAATTTTATGTGTTCCACACGGTTATCAAAAAAGACGCCTGAAAAAAAATTGCCAAAATTAATAAATGTAAAACCCTCTTTAGCATCTGTTATTTTTCGAAGGTTCATAAAAATAGTCAACTTTAATATATATTGGATTAAAAGCGAGCACTCGGACAATGGAGGCCTTTGCCCAGCAGTGGAACATGTATAGGCTTTACTTTTTTTTAATATATGTTCATGTAAGAAAACTAGTTGGCTGAAATCACTTAAAGGGTCAATCAAATAAAATGTAATTCCTTAAAAGCTTAAAATAAAGTTAAAGGCAACAAACATTTTTAAATTCACCTTCCTGCAATCTATAGCTTTTTCAATTTATGAATTCATTTATCATATTTAGTTTGTGAGAGTGAAAAATTTTTTTTACATCAATATATTGAGGTAGTCTGTACTGCAATATTTTTAAGTAATAGTTAGAACCAACATTAGTCAAAACACAATTGCATCTGCACATGCTATTCTATTATTTTACAGATTTCTTTACAGATTCCTTTCTCCACCCCTTATCCCACCAAGGTGTGATAAGGGGTAGAGCCGTTGGTAGCTAAGTGTCCGGGCGCTCGCCTTTTATTTAATATACTCGAGAAATCTGAGTTCGATCCCCGGTGACAGCACCAGCCCCGTGCTTAGCGGTGAAGGAAAACATCGTGAGGAAACCTGCATATTTTCGAAATAAGAACAAAAAAAAATTTCTCGAAGATATGTGAAGTCCGCCAATCCGCAGTGGGGCCGCGTGGTGGACTATGCCCTGATACCCTCAGTACAGATGAGGTATGTGCCCAGCTGTGGGTCATATATAGGCTGATACTTTACTTTACTTATAATGGTACCGACAAGGTTTTCTCCAACCGCCCACATAACTGACATTAATCCTTGGAAATAAATACGGAACAACCATCTGTGGGGTCCAACAAATACTTATCCAGTGCGGAATTCGAACCCGACGCCGGAGCTAACAATACTTGATTTATTATTTAATCATTGCTGGTCCTTAAGTTTACTTTAACAATAAAACATTTCTAGAAATGAAATTTAAGGTAATATTCTTTTTTACAGATTTAAATTTATGTCTATTCCACTTAATATATGTTACAGTTGTCAGTACAATTTTACACAAATCATTACAGCTTAGGAGGCTGAGCGTGGGTGACAATTAACTAGGAAAGACTATCTTAAGGAAGTAAATCTCAAACCTTCTCTTGCGTAACTTGCTATTTTTAATCTCATCAGGTAGGCTTTTCATAGTTTTTTTTTATTGTTTAGTTCTTATACAGGGTGGCTTTTATAAAGGTGCCCAAATTCACACATGAGGTTCAGACTCGGTTGTATAATCGTTTATTGATATAAAAATAAACTGTTTTTTTATAAAAATGCCGTAAAAAACAGAACTTGTTGACAATGCGGTAGTCATTCATAAGTGCGTCGTATACTTTTGAAACGAAACGAACTTGTGTGCGTGCTAGTTATGAATGATCGCGCGTAAAATAAATGAGTTGCCCATAAATCACGCACATTTTAAGATAAGTTCAAATTAATGTAATTAATTAATTACGAGTGAATTTAAATATTTATCATTTTTATATAACAATATTTATATCTGTAATTTCATAAATAAAATGGATACACTTAGATATGCCTCCCTGACACCCATACACATAACGTAGGGTTTGTCAAAAAATATTAGATTAAGTTTTTGGTCAATGCAGTATATTAAATCCTAATGCTATCAAGCAAATGAAGTTTAGAAGTACCTTATTAGGTAGAGTTTTTTAAACAATTATGTCTATAATTATAAATCAATGATAACAAAAAGTTATATTAAGGATCTATCTACACATTGTTCAAGTTCAAGAATAGCATAGATTCACTTGTATGCACGGCATTATGGATAAGTGTTGGACTTGTAGTCGATAATGTAAAAACCCAGTAATGTAGGTATAACCCGTTGAATCTTTTACCGTCCTTAACCGAGTTTACATTAACACTACGAAATATTGGAGAATTGACGAAGCCGACGAAGATAACCCGAATTTTCGGCCTGACTGTGGCTAAAACCGAATCTAGATTTTTCGGCCGTAGGAGATACTTTGGATAGGCTATATATATATATATATATATATATATATATATATATATATATATATATTTCTACTGTGGCAGGGCCACGCAGCAATTTCTGTCCGCCTTCCCGTCCGGAAGTACCCCGTCCTTCTGTAAGGACTAATGTGGAAGCTTTCGTGTTTCGCCTGATGAGTGCGACAACCACTTTGGGTGTTGTAAATATCCCAGGACGGTGGTTATCACTACATGAATCGCCTGCTCGCTTGCAAATTTTTTCACAACAATTTAAAAAACACTTATTGGTGAATAAATTTAATTGGAGGAATAACTGCTAGCAAGGAATTGCTATGAAAGGCGTTTTATAATGGGAAAAATTCATGTCTCCCTGTGATAATTCATAAACACTGCGATGTACTATTAAAAGATTTTTGGACTTTAAATAATGCAATCCTTACTACCAGCTTCTGGATTTCGGAATAAACGGAAGAGAGGGTTTATATTGGATTCCGGATAAAGATATTCTGACGTTAGTTTTTTTAAGGTAAACATTTTTTACTTTTTTTATAACAATTTATAGTCACAGTTATTTGAAACAAAGATGGTTTGAATACATATATTTAAAAAATGTCTTGTGCAGTTACGTGTTTTTACGATATATTAAACGTAAATAATTTATATATCATATCGAGCGATTATTTCTTACTATGAAGAATAATTAAATTAGCTTTTATAACTAAATTAAAGTTAGTAATAAATGTGATTCATAATTTGGACCCAGAATTTAACACATGGCTATTAAATTCGTTCGTCGTATGAAATAACTTCTCCTCAATACTTGTAACCATCGATAGCTAAAACAATATAAATATATGTATACGCTGTTTTGATAAGACAAAGAAGATTATTTTAGAATTGTCATATCGGGCAACAATGTTTAAACGCACATCTTATGATATAAGGATTTACCTGCAGATATAAAAACTTAAATATATTGATTCAAGATATCGCCGTAGATATATTGGAAAGATTTTAATCGAATGTTCCTATTACAAAGAGAAGACTGGTGACAATGTTAGCACGTTATGGACTTATGTCGCGCAATGAGTTTTCCTTCATTTTGTTTCGTTACACTTTAACTTTTAAGGATTTAAGACAAAATCATAATGAACCTTCTTGATGCCACCGCCAGGGCAGTTAGTTCCAAATAATAATAATTCTGATCATTAAGAAGATCCGATGAATTCAGAGAGTTTATCCATCCTTTTGGCAACTTAAATAATATTTGAAAAGCTATTTGACAGCTTATTAGTTAATTTCTACGATGATCAGTCTTTCAGAAACCGGGCGGAAATTTTTCATTCTCTGATGTTTTCACACATATTCGGTGTGGATGTTTAGGTGCAAATACATAAACATTCACAAATAACAAAGAGCGGCATTATTCGGCATGCTCATTAGTGTTATGTTTTTTCGTTTTGTTTTTCACTCGGTGTATGACGCGTTTTATTTAAAACATTGACAACATATAAAAGCAAATGTCGAGTTTAGCTAGGTATGGTGCCAGCGCTCAATTGCAAAGCTATCAAAGTTCTGGACCCGAGTAATGCCCGGGCGGTGATAGCAGGGTGCCGAGGAGTGTATCTTTTATACTTTGTCCTGAATGAACGAATACGCAACAAATGAAACCAGAGATTTTAAGTTTAATCCTATGAATATTGTATGCATTATTAACAGAGCTTCTGACGAAGAACTAATGAGAAATGCATTACAAAATGCATCAGACTGACGCATGTATCTCAAAGATGCTATAAAAGCATAAATAAATTCGTCACGTCGCAAAGTATATTGGCGAATCGTAAATAAAGATTAGTCTACATACAAAATATAGGTACATATAAATATTAAAGGTACATATACACATATTATTTTACACACAATGAAGTTTAGTAACTTAAAACACACGCATCAGTCATCAGACTGACACACACATCAGTGTTGACATTAGTATGTCAACACTGATGTGTGTGCTTTTTTAAGTTCTTCCTTCTTAAAAATACTCTGTACTCGTCTACTCTTCAGATCAAAGAAGGTCGGACCGTTTGCAATGTTAAGCTGGTTATTGCTTCTCAACTTCACTTATGCACCATTTGCATTCGAATTACCAATCACTGGTGAAAATATAGGTATGTATCTAGGTATAGTAGAGCGCTAGCGTATTTATTGCACCCGGGCGCTACATGGACTTTTACCTAGATACTTTGAATTCGTATTGTAAAGCTTTTGGGATATCGGACAAATATTAGGTTTATCACGACGATAATCATTTTTCCTTCTGCTCACAGAGAGATAATTTCTTTGCTATCACAGAAATATCGATTATTACTATAATTATAAATTGAATTAATCCGACTTTTCAATCCATTGGGGAAGTTTTTCGCACACTAGATGGGAAAGAGAAGGGATAGATAGATGGGAAGGGATTATTTTAGGGGAGCATCGTCCAAGGCAGAGATCGTGGAACCGCCAGATTCTACGCGGGTCGTACTCGTACTTTGAACGAATAGTTAACGAACTTATTATAATTGTATGTAATCTGTCTAGATAAATTTTAATAATTAACTTTTTCGTACCTTTGCATTTTGGGTTAACACAACGTTCCGCCGCCTTTAAATATCTTATTAATGTAAGCGGCACTTCTCCGATTCTTATTGGTATTTCATATAGTTTTATAGTACGACCTGCAAGTTCTAATAGTGATGGTGGTTGCAACGTCATGTCTTTAACAAATCTCACTACCAGTGGGTTATCGCGGAGACTCAACTGTAATAAAATATTAATATAATTATTACTGAACACAAGGTTACGTCACAAAGGCATAATGTATAAACAACGCGAACTTGCCTCTGTTAAACATTTTAGCTTGATTATTTGTGGTGGTAGAGTCTTCAGTTTATTTTTGTGTATCAGCAAGGATCGAAGATGTTTTAGACTAGCAATACTCGCTGGTAGCTGCTCAATCAGATTGTCACTCAGGACTAACGCTTGAAGGGAAGTTAGTGCGCCAACTGATTCGGGTACATCTATTATTTGATTGCCGCCAATTGAGAGTATTTGAAGGCTGCGGAAGAGATAAATAAAATCTGTAACCTTATTTGATAAAATTTAGCTATTTATAAATATGAAAGGTGCGGAATGCACATAAATTTAATACAGTATGCAAGGAATACACATATATTTCATAATTAATGCAAAATTTGTTAAAACTTAATGTCTTAATGACAAAGATATTCTTAAATTAATAAGGCTGGAGTAATGAACATTATAATTAAGTAAATGGTAATATTCACATTAATAGCGAGTCATCGTGACTAGCTGATTGAACAAACAATGTCAATATGTCTCAATATGGTAGCTATTTGATAGCCTCGTTGTTAAACTAGAAACGACGTTTTGAAACAAAGGTCTTAGTTTATAAAATGATGTTCCATACGTTCATACTATCTAAGGGTCACGTAAGCTCTATTGTTTTATTGTATTAAGCCAATAAATTATAAACATGTCTCGTTCATCGATAGAAATATTAAATATCGATTTACATCTGTCTCTAAAGTATCTTGTTACTTACAAACAAAATTAATTCGGTTCTTGAAATGAAGGCCAACCACACGATTTGGCCATAATTATGTTATACTGTATAAGATAAGTACATTTACTATGTACTAAATAAACAAGCAATTTTTTCTTAATATTTTTATACGAACGATTTACAGCTTCATTTTCAAAGACAGGATATATTGTAAATTACGAGATATGTACTTACTTTTGTTTGTTTTATTGTTAGTAATATTATATATATTGGAATTATTATTCGTGCTTACCTGTTTAATTTCCATATATCCTTTGGTATGTTGACTATATTGTTACCACCTAAATAAAGATACTTAAGAGAATTTAAATCTAATACTTGTTCTGGAAAGTAATTTAGTTGGTTTCCACTTAAATTAAGTTCTCTTAGCGTGTTCCTCGTGGAAAAGAAACTTTTGGGGAGCGAGTCATTGGTAAGGTGGTTGTGCTTGGCAATGAGGGATGTTAGCGGACAGTTTTTTAACAGGTCCGGGAGTACAGTCAATCTATTATTGCTAACATCAAGTATTTTCAAGTTGCAGAATCTGTTTATAGATTCGGGAAGCTCCTTTATTTGGTTGCTGTAGAGAAGAATAATCTCGTAGTTATCCGCATAATCTTTCTCGTTGATAATAGAGTCCAATTCGGACGATATGGTTATTGAGTCGAGCAATCTGCTTGATAGATCAAGTGTTTTTTGCTCTCTGCTGTCACTGTCGCAGCTGTCCGATGTGTAGCACTCCATCATGATGGTACAAAGTGGTCAAGGGCCCCACTAAACTAATCATCCGGCGTCAGAATGACTTTGATTTACATTATTATCTCGCTGTGCCTGCCGCGTAGGGGCCTGCCGTCTCAATCGCGGCGTACGCGCAACTGCCCTCTCCGCTCCGCACCGCAGTCTTGTGTCTGTCGGTCGATGACGACACTATATAATGGTAGTGTTGAAAATTTACCTACTTCGCGGGCACGATTGATACAGATAAATGGCAGCTATGCGTATCTCATATGTGCGTGATTAAATAGGTGCACAAAACATAACTATTGTTAAGTATTTTAAATGAAATCTGAACAAAGATGATGAAAAACGCACTATTATCTATATTAAAATTTGTTGTTCGCTTGGCTTTGTAACTGGCAATTTTTATTTTTCTTGCGTTAATAAAATATGTTTACATTAAAATGGAGAATACGCGGTGAAACATCTACATAAGTGTATTACCTTTTATACCGACCCTATAAAACATTTTTAATTGTAATAAAATGCTTTTATGGATACACTTAAACGATTTGCAAAGATTGACTATAATTTGAGTCACAATGCGGTCTTGATGTACTAAAACTTTAGAAATACACTTTTCAAGTGTTATGTAGTAATCTTCTTTTCTTACTGAGACCCTTTTTACACATAACGCATATATCCTGCCCTAACGAATGCCGTAACGATTTTTAAATTTATAAGTAGGTGCTGATGTGTAATATTGTTTGTGCCCGCTAGGACAAATAATGATATAAAATCCAGGCCAGTTACATGTGATAAACTTTAAGTTATCCATTTAAATAGCAATCCATCCCTCATATTATCTAATACGTTAACCAGAAATTTAAAAATGTGACTGTTTCTAGTTTTTCGATAATTATTTACGGCACGCCCGTTTTTCGTTAAAGAATGATAATTGCAATTCTTTACTGATTATTGTCCGATCTCTCTTTGAAAGATTGGAATCGTATCTGTAAATCCACGCGGGTGATGGTTTTCAATGGTCGCCGGTAATCATTAAAAACAGTTTGAATACCGTTTAGGGCGAACCTTTTGTTCATTTGCTTCCATCATACACAAAAACAGGATATAATTAGATTAAAAATTAGTATTCTCGTATAAACTTAATGTAGATAGAAGATAAAAAAATCGCCGATATATTTACCTGTTATGTATATCTAATCTATTTATCAAATTGTTAAAAAAATCTTAGGTATGTGAATGTTTTACGAAATAATTTGGTAATGTTTGAAATGCGAATTATTATAAAACAATTTATTTTTCCTTTACAAATACAAACAACATCATTAAGAGATAGGTAGGAATAGATTAACAATAAAAGGTTTACATCTATACATACATACTACATACAGATAAATAAAATTGGAGTGTCTGTTTGTAATTTTAAAATAACAGCTTTTTACAAATGCATATGGATGTATATACGGTACATGTATCAAAATAACATTTTTTGTCTGCTGTCTGTCTGTTTATTCCGGCTAATCTCTGAAACGACTGGACCCATTTCGACGGGACTCACTGACAGATAGCTGATTTACTAAGGAATAACTTACGCTACTTTTATTTTAGTTTTTTTTTTAAATTCCACGCGGACGAAGTCGCGGGCACAGCTAATCTTACATAAATTTGTATTATTTATGTAATGTATTCGTATATTTTGTAATAAAATTTAATTTAAATTTATTAACCTTATGTAATCCAGACTAATGCATATTCTGTAGTAATTGTGAGCCGTCATGTCACGGACGCCAACTTACGAGGTTTTTTCCTAAATTTTGGAAGAAAAAATTTGCAATGAAATTTTAATAGGAATAAAATTTTATTGAAAAAAAAACTACACAATTTAAAACACGAAATATAATATAATAGTATTGGCACTAATAGTGTTGGCTGCATTGGCATAGTAGTATTTTAAATTGTTCCGTCATAAACTCTTGCCATCGGATATGTTCAAAAATATGCAGCTAAGTGGGAAAAAGATAATGAAGCTAAAGGCATGTTTAATTCAGATATTTTATAATTGAATGATACTTATTCCCATTGTTTATTGTCTGATTCTTAAAAATAATGAAAATGGTTATACGTTACAATAAAATGTATTTAATTTGTATAAATATTTTTCAAGTCAATGAAAAATGTTCAAGGCCAAGTATATTAATTAAATTAATTTTTAAATAAAACAGTTTTGATTACCCAGATAGTTAATTTTTTCCGATAATTATTCTACCTTGTTAGATAATTTTAAAAAAGGTGACTTTTTCATTTAGGAAGTGTTTTTGAAAACAGTGGATTTTAGGTTTTTGAATCTCTTTAAGAGTTTTTTTTCCACAGTTGGTAGCACTGCGTCATGTAAGATTATGAATATGAGTTTGAGTAGTATTTATTTATTACTGATTACTATTACTATGGATAGGTCAACTTAATAATATTGGAAATCAGGAGCAACTTTCACCTTAGACTTTTGTTTATTGCAGCTTAACTACGCCGATTGTTTGCCATTATCACATCATTTCTTTTACTAATTAAGTCTTTACTTTTGATTGACAAGTATATAGCCAAAGGTAAAATTGTCAATATCACAAAAAGTTTTTCGTCCTTTCTATGAAAATTGATTAGAAAAAAATATAAGAAAAGAGCTATAGTATTTCAATATTTTGAAAGAAAGAACGAAACTATTCAATACAAATTCAAAAGTCGGAAAGTACATATCCTGACCTTACATTAGATAAGTGTGCTACTAGATGGCGCGATTTCTATGTTGCATGCATGTTTTACTTTGTTGCATTTCCAGATAATGTTGATGCCTATATTAATTAATATTATTAGCGCCGTTACGAAAAGCCTTCTGTTTTATTAATTATAAACAGTTGACAGATTATTTGTAAATAGCGACAACAATCAATATTCATCCCTACTAGGTTAGTATTATACGTCTCAAAGTACTTTAGATCATATTCCCTGTAGGTATTATAAAAAAATATTTATTTAAACTTCTTTTATTTTAAGGAATAGGAAATTGCCTTAAAACAGAATAAATAATGTACAAGTTTATTGTTTACTGCGTAACGTGCGTATGTTGGAATATGCGCCTGGTACGTCACTGATCGAATGTCCGAGCGCCACCCGAACGAACGCCGAAATTAGCCGAGCGAACGAGTCTGTGAAGTCTGAGGAAACTAAAAATTCGTCGTTCATATATTGATGTAAATTTGAAAAATTAACAAAATGATATTGTAAAATCTAGCTAAGACAATTTTATTTTGTTTTAGATATTGTATCAGTGATACTTTTTTGACTTTTATATTTCTAACATAATATTCCTTTGGCTAAGTGAGAGTTCAGTGCGAGTGCTAGCAAGGGTGGTAACGAGAAATGTGAAGTAGTATCTATGAAGTTCAGGATTCGGCCGTTTATTTTATACCTATAATAATGAGCGGGCGCCCTAGGACCACGTCTTTCGCCGAGGGCAGCAAATCCGTTCGAAAGACATTCGAAAATCAACCACCGAAACCACCTCTCGGAGGTGTAAAAATTTGCAGTAAGTACCACCTAACCATTCTTTTGTCGGCCATCGTGATTTCTTACACTGTGACGTATTCCGATTCTGACATTGTACTATGACTGCATTCTTGATATTTGGGATGAATTCCAAGAATCCTGTGGACTTTTACAAATTAAATCGATAATGACACAATTGTCTATATCACTTTGTACAAAAATGGCTACAGGCTGTGGCTTAGATTTGCCACATAAGCCTTGGCTTGGCGTGTGACAGATATCACGTCAAAATCCGATTTTCAACAAAATGCGTAGTTATTTTGAGATTTTTTTAATTTGTATTATGTCTTAACGTCGATGAACGAGATTTTCTGAACGCCATTATCTATATTTCTATTTCATAATGAATGAATAAATAGATAGATGATCTTGGTTGTTTTACCATTATTTTGAGGTTACTCTAAAATGACGTAATTAATGATAGAAGCTATAGTTAGAATTAAGAATAAACGTATAGTTTGAAAAATTATTTCAATATTTTGTCACCATTATGTAAAATATATATTTGGTAACCTTTAAAGGCTTTAGGCATTTTTCATTATTTTTGGAAAATGTCTGATATGATTTCTAATATCTGTGTCATCATATCCATAGGGTGTTTTATGTAGGTTTTTGTTAGAGGTTTCATTACATATAATTTATAAGTTGAATTAATGGTCGACCTACCTCCAAGGACTTATAATTATCATAAAGGAGATGCTTCTCATAAATATTTTTTATTTGCATTTGGCAGAAATTAGGATATATTATTTCTTGTATCCGTTTTTTAATAAAATAAATATTAATGACCTTTTTGTATTCAATATTGTATTAAATAAAAATACAACCTAAAACTGTGCATATTTACCTTACAAATCAAGTACACAATATAAAGTACTGAACATTAGATTAATGTTAGAGAATGGTGAGATGAACCATAAAGTTACCATTTATAATACTTTTGTAGTCGATTAATTTTATTTTGTGTAAAATATAGTAAAAACCATTATTATGTTATACATAATATTTTACACTTTCTTACTGTCTTTAAGAAGTTATTATTGTAAGTTTTATTAAAGGGTTATTCATTTTGTCTCATTTTAAATATTATTTCACATGAAAAGACTATAATAACTAACAGAAACTGAAGATGCTTTCTTATTATTTTATATTCAACTAGCGACCCACCCCAGCTTCGCACGGGTGCAATGTATTATACATATGAACCTTCCTCTTGAATCTCTCTAACTAGTAAAAAAAAACCACATCAAGATCCGTTGTGTAGTTTTAAAGATCTAAGCATACATATGGACAGACAGACAGTGGGATGACTTTGTTTTATACTATGTAGTGATGCACTGCGAAGAGACATTTACATTTCAAGTGATATTTTACTTACTTGTTTTGCCTTCCCGGAACCCCTCCACTAACACTTAATCTTTATAATATGGTATTAAAGTTCAAATTGACTTTTAAGTGTTATTACAAATCTTTTGTATAGGAATATAGCAAAGTGTTATAGTTTTTAGACTTTTTCAGGCAATTTTTAAATGTTTTTTTCATAAGAACCTCCTGATAATAATAATCACAAAAAAAAGTGAAATTGGTCCAGCTGTTCACTCTTGATTGGGTGACCACGGGAAATAGGGATTCATTTTTATATATATAGATATAAATATTTGATTTTTGTGTATGTTATAATTAACTCTGAAAAGAAGACCTAATTAAAATTGTGGGACTACAGATGAACTGTGTAACAATCTTAAATATTCATAACATAGTATATTTAGAGTGTTATCAGTCTAAACATATATAAATGAAGTGTGTGATCATCAAAAGAAGTAATTTCTTAAATAGTTTGTTAATTTTGGTTGAATATGGTACAACCTCCCTTGGACATCCTTAGATGTGATTGTGGGGTGGGTTTACACCCCTTCTTCTCTTTAATTTTTAGTTTTGAGGAAATTTACCTCATCTCATGGATTCAAATTCATAATAAGCGTAAAAAATAAGGGGAGCCTCGGAGCCTTGGAGGGGAAAGGGTTCCACCCTAAACAGAAGAGCACCCGTCCTCGCCTCTGCAGCTCCTTGGCTTGGTTTTATGTGAAAATTACAGGGGAAAATCAAAGAATGTCAGTAAAAAGTAAACAATGGAAAAAAATTGTTCTTCAGTGCTATGGTGTGTTGTAGTGTTATTCTTCTGTTCAACATTAAATAAAATCAAATTCTTTCAAATTGCTTAATTATTATCTTGAATGTCTAATGGGATGTGGTGTAAGCAAAAGATCAAATCAGATTAATATAACAGGTCACTGTTCAAAACATTCAAAGATAGCAAAATTCTGTAGTTTTTTCTCAAAAACTTTGTGTTGAATCTTTGCATATGTGCTTATAATAATGTAACCTTTATGTAATAAAATTATCAATCCCCAGTTTGATGGATGTCAATGGAAAGCTAAGCCTTGTATATTAATTTTGGATACATATAGTATACATTTTTCACATGTTTTACAATTGCATTAGACCATTGATCACTGGATAAGCAATGCACAAAATGTGCTTAAATTTAATTACATGGCTCCTGTTTAATATATTCTATATTTGAATATGATTTTTTTTTATAAACTGATGTTTGATGATTTGGTATGATAGGAATAACGAAGAAAAAAACTTGTCTATTATAGTTTCTAACAAGAAATATATGATTTTCAGTATTAATATTTAATATTCAGTATTAATATTTTAAAGTATTCATAGACATGAAGCAGCTGTTGTTATGCATTCAAACTTTTTAATTTTATGTGAATACAAAGATTAGTTTTATGTATTGATAATGGTTTTTAGGGGCAAGGAATATCTTTATATTGTATGTCCTTACTCATACTGTACTGTACCTTTATTTATAAAATATTTAGCTTATTGGTTTTTTATACTTCTTGTTTTAGAGTGAAAAGTAAAACAAGTATGTGAGCATAATGAAATAAACAAATATTGTATCTTTTGAATTTTATACATTTTAATAATTCAACAATAAAATTCCTTTTGGATGTTTGTTATTAACAAAGTTTAAAAATTATAATGACGAGGCCAGGTTTTCCATTCATTGATTAAAAAAAATATTTGGTCGATTTTTTTTAATTAAATAAATTCATAGGTGTGAAGGAATAGAAAAAAAATCCGGGATATTTTCGTTAGTCTCGCTAAAACTCGAGAATGGCTGGACCGATTTGGCTCATTTGAAATATTTGTGGCAGTCCGGGGTAGGTTTAATTATGGAAAAATTGCATGGAAAATGGTATTGGCAACAATTTATTTTTCCCATACTAACCATACCTGTCAACTGTGTCTGTGTAACCTGTCAAACACTTTATGCGTGCATTCCGAAAATTCTCATTCTATGTTTTCAGATTGACAAATTCTAATCAAATTTTCACGCAAATACTACTGAATGGATTTTAATGAAACTTTACAATAATATAGCTTATACATCAGAATAAGACATAGGTTATAATTTATATGTACAGATTTTTATATCTGTGTTTCTGTCTGAATGTTACGCCTACAGCCTATTCTACGCAGACGTAGTCGCGGGCAGCAGTTAGTATAAGATATTAATTGCAATACAAAAGGATTTATCAATATAGGAAAAGGACGCATTTCAACTTGTTTGCTTATTTCACTCTTTCTGCGACTGCAATCTCCAGTCGTCCTTTTAATAACGACGAGAAAGTAGAGTAAAAAGTGCTTTAAGGTTTCGAATTGAATTAATAGCGTGCTGGAGGGTTGCAGTCGTTTTCTAACTGTAGGCTGTGCCGTTAAAAAATTCATTAGGCGTGTCCCTTAACTACCGAATCGCCTAGGGAGCGCGAGCCTTGCATATTTGATGGCATTGCAGTATAACCACTGCGCAACTTGGGCAACCTACGAGATGGCGGTTATATTTTTCGGGATCACATCCTCTAGTCAACTTTTCATGATATACTTTTACATAAAGTATCTTATTTACGTTTTAGGCTTATTTTGTTGTCGACGTCGATTTTATTGGCCAACATTAATAAGTTAATATTTGAGCATAAGATTGTCTATGTCAAAAGGGTAATATTATCCTGTGGTGTGTGTGAAGATTGACTACTTGTACAAATTGCATATATCAAAGCATCCAAATCTGGAATTTTTATCCATAGGAATAATATTGTTCTACAGGATCGAACCTGCAATTAACTAGTTTATTTCTCGTTGATTACTTATATTATTCTTAATTATATTATTATTCCAATAAACAGTACTAACAAAATAATTATTATGGATAATTCCGTATTCCGCCTTACGTTGGATAATTCCGTGTCACATCTAAACCGCTAAGCTAAATACCGACACTATAATATAATTCGCATTAAAATGTTTCATATAAGACGTACTGAAGTTTTCCAATATTGCGGAAGGTAACCTCTACGTTCGGACATTGCCTCGTCTCGTCACAAGCGAAACCGCCCCGAAGCTAGTTAGCCGCGAACGGTTATCGGCCGCGCTATCAGCGGCCGTCGGCGATCTCGCTATCACCGGTCGCGTCAAGTGCGCCCCCATCCCGCCACTCGCCGCCGCACTCTCCGTTTTCGCGGGTGCCTTTCGCTCGGCCACCGTCGCAGTCGGCGTTGGTGCATGTCGCCGAATCGTCGATCGGTTCGTTGACCCACTTCCGAACGATCGCTTGCGTTAGCGCTAAGTTCGCTTCTGATCGCAAAGTCCCCCCCGCGCGCGTTGTCACCCGTGCAGCAAACGATAGTGTTCAAGTGCGCACTCCTGAAGGGAAATGCTAATGTGCTCGGTGCGTTGTGGTGGTGAATGCGCTTCCAGTTGTCCGGTGTTGTGCGTGGGCCGGTGCGATGTTGCGACGTCGTGGTACCTACACGGTGAACGGCGGAACAACCGCGAGTCACGCCCGCGACAAGGCGACGGTGCCCGCGCTGTTGCTAACTAAGAGACATGGTAATTGATTTTATACTATGGGAAATTAATGAAATGGTTGATATAAACTTTTGCACAATTTAAACAGTTTCATAAATTTTACAAGTACCAAGCTACATTAGTAGGCTATAATTCTGATAGTTCAAAACCATATTGGAAACCGTTAATAAACTGGATATAAAATTAGTAGGAGCGTTTTGTTTAGGTCGATCCAGACCTCAAAAAGTTTTAAAATAAATCCCTGTGATGTTGAAAATCTGTGATCCAAATATCAAGAGAAAGGAACAGAGCGATGTAGTTGGCACGTTCTTAATTTGTCTTTGAAAGAAGAATCTGTAGGATGTGAGGGTGGTAAATTAAGTAATAAATTCCTTGGTAGTAGTATAGTAGTAACCATTATTATGTATGTCATGATTGAAAATTAACAACACATAGTTAAAAAAGTTCTGTTAGACCTATCACAATCCATATTCTTAGAGCTTTACGCCGATGAATGATCAAAATGATCAAATCAAAGAGTTTAACCATGCTTTTGGCAACTAAAATGAAATTTGAAAAGCCATTTGATGGCTGAATAGTTGACATCTACCATGATCAGTGTTTCAGAAACCGGGCGTAAGTCTTTAATGAAATTTGACAAAAAAGCTTCATTGCAAATTGTAACGTCGTAATTAGAATTATTAAGTAATTAGCCTAGTTAAAGTCATTACTTATGTATGAATAATCTCGTAATATCCTTTCACAACATGTTGATTAACATTTGCCAATTCTGACCATTACAAATGAGTCTTACTTACATTTAATCACAAGAAGAATAAAAAAACGCTGTTTAGAATTTGATACGTAATCATCACGTGCTTCCGTTTGATTTTTAAGATGAAGAAACATCACGGTCTATCGTCTTCTTATCTATCTTCGTGTCGACAGTACATGGCATTTATTATCTGTACTTTTATTGTCCATAAATGTATACTCATTTTATTGACTAATATTGAATGTCGACATATTTCTTATTCATTTACAGTTTTGTAAAATTTTGATCAACATCGTTACCGTCTATTAACTGTATTAATGTTATAAGTATAAATACTTTATGTATTGACATAACTTTTAGCACTATTTATTTTTTATAAATTAATGATTTGCTGTTCCTCACAACAATTAGACAGTTCACATCAATAGAGTATTGAAAGATTAATTGTGACTAATATAATTTTGTCGTATATTTTCGCGCATTACTGAATATTAGTGAAAATATACACTAGTGTCATAACAATAAAGTGACAAATATGTTTATGGTCATGTTATAAATTTATAAGCGATCAAATCGGATAAAATAATTAGGAGAAATTTAAAGCAACAATGATGTGAGATTAAAGTCATATATGATAACAGCTTTTTTATCTAACCACTAAAAAGGATTAGATTAGAGCAATACTTTATTAGGGATATTGATAGGGGTTTGTACGAATTGCCATTATTTTCTTGCGTAATACAAAACAATATGATTGTAGGATAAGAAGAATGTGTTACGAGTATTTTTATATGTATTTTAACCGCCAGGTAAAAGGTTAACAAACTGTCATTGCAAGCCAAGACAATCAATCGTAACCCATTGATGACAGTAAAAGAATATAAACAAAAAATTTAAGGGAAACGGCCCATATACATAGGTGATATTTTATTTCCACCACAGATTTCTATCACAGAAACGAGTGCTGACATTATTTCTATTCATATAGCTCTATTGAGCTTTATAAATATAATTGTTTGGATGTATATACGAGTAATTCCTGTCCAAAGTTGCCTCTCCAGGAGTTATATTTACCACGTTACGTGTTAATATGTCAAGTTGCCATTGTTCTCAAATATAGGGCAAGGTGAAACTTGTTATTTATTTTAAACTTAATTTGGAGCAACGAGCCTGAAGCCGTTTTGAAAACGCTTAGATTATTTCATTTGTTCGTGCCACGAAATTGGACTGTACATATTATGGATATGTATCCACTCTCAAGTAATAATACATCAGTTTTATGTAAATGCACATTAATTGTATCGCTACCATTCCTTATCCTAGAAATAATCTGTTTTTAATGTTTGATCGATTTAAAAAAGTATAGAAAAAATACGTTTTCCGTGTCTTTCACACAGTGTTATACGGTTTTGTCTGATTGACATATTTTGACGTGTTTTTTATACGGTGAATGGTATCTTATCATTTCGGTATTATACTCAACTTTACAGTCTTTGATAATAAAGATGATATTGTACTGTACTTTTAGATAAAAATGTATCGATCGATTACAAAAACGTTTTAGCTTACTAAAGCTGATGTATACGAAAGCTAGGGTAAATTTTTCTAAAAGTGTGTGATGGAAAAATTAAATAAACTTGGAAAATTTATTTAATATTATATTTATGTATGGATACATAAGCAGTCAAATACCGCCTGTTTAATTTGTGATTCCCATGCAAACCATACAAGATAGGTTGCGTAAAGCCATAGTATTACTTATGGAAATCTTAGAAGTTTCTGCTTAGCTTCTTCTAATTGTTATTTAGTACGTTAATACTACCGTAAATCAGTGACAACTTTTTATTATGATTATAATATATAATATTATGTAAGTAAAAAAATAAATATTTCAGCACAAAAAAATTATGATGACCATTCCATTTTCAGAGTACTTAATTAATAATATATGATTACTGCTAATGTCGAATAAAAGTGAGAATTATTTTGTCAATGCTCATTTTGTACGAAGTTTTTGTGCCAAATAACCAACGTGCATAATAATGTAAAATTAAAAATCAATTAGCAATTTCTGTTTGTTCTTTAGTTTGATTCACATTTAAATTCAATGGTTGCGCATATTTTATTCTACTAATTCATAATCTGATAGTGCAAAGTGAACGTAGTGTTTACGTAAATAGATGCATTCGTACTTCTCATCCGTTCTCCTATGTTTCATGTATAATTTGACGTGGATGACGTATGTGGAATGATGCCAGATAACTATAGAGGTTGGGGTGTGACCGTCCTTACTATGGTGCCTGACTGATGTCGGTAAAGTTTAACTTACAACTATCATTAATAAAAAAACATTTCGCTGATGGGTTTATAGGGATATAGATCTTTTGTAGCCGGTCACAAAAGATGCCACTGTTTATAAATCAGTATTTAAAATTCGAATTCATTAAATTTTGTCGTAAATATTAAAAATACTAACAAACTCTCGAATAACCTATACTATAACGACTGGAACCATTCTTAACATTTGATAAAAAATAATCACCATTTGATTATAATTCCTGGGGAACATTTAGGGTATATGTGCCGTAGACCATCAACTAACTCGGGAAAAATCGTGCCTCTTTAGTTTCTTTATGTATGATTGTCAAATACAGACGAGGTAGTAATTATTTTTAATGTAATTCTATTATGTGGTTGTAGTCGCTATAATATTATCTACTTAAGAAAACGTCAAAAAAGACTAGACAAAGCCAGGGTAGTTCGCTAGTTTATAATACAATTGGGACAAATAAAAACAACGAAGATAAGCAAGTAGCTCTTACATGCTGTTTAAGAGGTGAGCGAATGGTTATTGCTAGGTGTTTTATCTCCACTTGTAAATTTTACATGAATAAGTGCTAAATATAGGTATGAGTTAAGTATCTACGTGTTTCATTTTCACCATGGAATAATAATTTACTCTGCCACAATTGGCAAGTAGGTTGCCACTCTGTTCATATCAATATGATGTTGGCGGGTTGCGACTAAATTTAAGCCGTGCGTATATTTAGTGCGGGACGTAATGGCAATTATAATGTGGAAATGTACGAATTGCTGTGTTTTTTAAACAAGGTGCTGCAAAAGCTATTGCGCCCGAAGTGCTATTCGTGACTAAGAGGAATATGTGTGTAAATATAGCTTTTGGTCATCCCATAACGCAATTGCTGATTAGACCGTCGTCTGTTGTTTCCACCTAGAGACTATCGCACTAGTTTTATACATCTTGTTCATGTTTGAGATAACTCTATGGTGCATAAGTTAGTTCCAAATGTCTTTTAAAATGCAGACTATTATATTTCGCATATTTGATTAAAATCTTATTTTTCATCTTTACATGGTTACGAGCGTGTAATTTTGTACTGGTACTGGTGATGGTGATTTTCGATAAACTTTTGTCAAAACTATATCTAATCGAGTGAATTTCGCGTCCCCAAGTTACACTCGTTACGCATACGTAATACGTGCAGAAAGAGTCGATCGCCATAAAGGCTGCAAACGCGCCCCTGTAGCTCGCGTTTTATGACGTAAACGGACCGACCGGTTCCATCACGCGCGGGCGGCGTTTGGACGATGTCGCCTTGGCGAGAGCGCGCGGCGGAGCGTTGTGGCGTGAACCGCGGCCGGTGTCGCTTTACGTGAACAATGGGGATGCGCCGCCGACCGTAAACCGGACTGGGAAGTACGGTTTTCCACCGTAAAAAGCTCTGTATCACGACCTCGCAGAAGACCGGCGTCTAGGGGAAGTACTGTACCTACTTGCTACTACTACTGCATTTCGTCTGGTGGGTGAGGTAACCAGGTGAGGTAATTAAAAGGTGACAACGCATCTGTAACACTACGTGTGTTACCCTTGTACATGGACGGCGGTTATCACTTAACATCAGGTGAACCGCCAGCTCGCTTGTCACCTTCTCACATAACAAAAAAGCCTTGTTTGCCGCACGAGGGCATCGCAATTTCTCCTTATTAACTCAATCGCGTATGAGCTGGTCGAGAGTTTTGCAGTATGAACATTATTTAGTTCCAGTACAACACGACAATTTTCCGAAATTCGTGATTTTAGTACAGTTTTATCTATTCAAGATTACTTTATAGTGACCGTATATTTCGGCAATAAAATAAAGTAAAAGGAATCTAAAAATTGAAATTTATTTATAGTGCTAATCTCTGCACTTAAGATTTAACATTAAATTTTGTATAAAAAGTGCGAAAAGATTGTCGTCGCTGT